CTTGAGTGAATACATAGGCAATGGACTGCTGAGTCATATGGTAAATTTATGTTTAATTTTATAAGAAACTGTCAAACAGTTTTCCAAGGTGCATGTTGCATTCTTCATTCCCACCAGCAATGTATCAGAATTAGAATTGATCTATATCCTCACCAACACATGGTAGTATCAGTTTCTTTGCTTTTAGTCAACCTAATGGGTATTCAGCAGTATTTAATCTTTAATTTGCATCTTCCCAATTACTAACGATGTTGAACAATTTTCCATGAACTTATTTGCCATACAAGTATCTTTTTTTGGTGAAGTATCTGTTCAAATCTCTTATCCATTTTAAAAATTGGGTTGTTTGTTTTCCTAGTGTTGAGTTTTGTAAGGTTTAAAAATATATTCTGGACATAACTACTTCATCAGAAAGCAAATTTGCAAATATTTTCTTCCAGTCTGTGATTTGTCCTTTTTCATTCTCTTAACACTGTCTTTTGAAGAACAGAAACTTTTATTTTGATTAAGTCCAGTTATCAATAGTTTCTGCAATATCTTAGAAATCTCTGCCCAAACCAAAGGTCACAAAGAAAAATTTTCTCCTATATTTTCTTCTAGAAGTTTTGTAGTTTTAGGCTTTACATTTAGATCTATGATCCATTTTTTAGCTCATTTTTGTATGTTTGTGAAATGCAGATTGAGGTTCATTCTTTTGTATATAGATGAGCTCTGTCCAAATACCATTTGTTGAAAAGATTATCCTTTCTCCATTGAATTGTCTTTCCCATTGGTAAAAATCAATTGATCAACTGATCATAAATATGTGGACTTTTTTTTGAATTCTCTATTCTATCCCATTGATATTTATGCCAGTACCCCACTGTCTTGATTACTGTAGCTTTATAATAAGTCTTAGAGTTATATAGTATAATCTTCCAACTTTATTTCTCTTTTTAAAAGTTATTTTGGCTATTCTAGGTCCTCTGCATTTTCTTATGAGCTCTAGATTTAGCTTGTCAACTTCTACCCAAAAATCCCTGCGGGAATGTTTTTGAGATTGCACTGAATCTATACATCAATTTACAGGGAACTGACATTTTAAATTCTGCCTTGTCCCTTTGGCAAATTTTGTGCAGGACAGTTTCCAACCACTCTCCCAACAATAAGAAACTTCTAATAGTGCTGATAAAAGATTGTGGGACAAGACTATTTCCTTCTTCTCCACCAGGAGTGGATTCTTTTTTTCCTGTACCCTTCCCCCAGCCACAATAGGTTTTCACCTATACCCTAGAAATAACAGATGTGTTGGCCCTTCCTCAGTGGCTTAAGGCTTTTGTTCTTAAAGAAGAAGGGTCAAAGCGGGCATCCTGCCTTTCTGGCAGTGACAGTCACTCCCTTCATTCAGGCCTGCACCAGTGAGGGAGACTCTCTGCCTTTCCCCACAATCTTTCTCTAGAGGTCTGTGCAGAAGATGCCTATAAGTGGGTGTGAACTCCACTTGTATCTGTGACTACCAATGGTTCTATACTTGGCCTTTAGCAACCCACTAAAAAGTTTAACCAAATATTTCTTATCTGCTTGATTGGTGCCTGGTGTCTCTGTGACCGTGCTCTGTCACAAGTGAGACAGTGCTTGTGTCTCATCTCTTTTTGGAGGAGTCTGTCTTTCCTTGGACTTTAGGCTACTTAGTTGCTCTGCATCAGAAGCTCTCTGATAGGTTCAAGAAATGTTAATGATTTTGAAGTTTATCTGACATTTTATTATAGTTAGGGTGAAAGTGACACTCTTTCCAATTTCCTCATCCTAAGTGGAAACAAAACTACCAAATTCAGCAACATTTCAAAGTGATTTTATTTTTTGTTAATCAATAGGATGGATTTGTGGAAAACACATTTATTCAGACAATGCTTGTTACACATCTGGATTCACATATTTTTGGCACATTTATTAGTCTGTGCCCCAACCCCTCCCTATCAGAGATCTACACAAATAGTTTTGAAATCCCTATCATATCTTAAGATTTTTAAAAATCAGCTTAAAACTCTTTTAACTATGGTTTTGAAATTACTAAGGTCAACTATAGTTCTGATCGCTATTGTAATTTAGCTAAATTTCAAATACAAAGGCAGAAAATGCACCATTCTATTAAAAAAGAAAAATTATTTGCACACGTGGTCAAAAATAGCTTCTAAGAATATATAAGTTTGAATTTTCTACTATTTACACATTTAAAGTCATCATCACAGTTATATGAGTATAAAAGGTGCTAAATTGGCTCGAATTTAACTCAGGACATATTGCCAGAAAGAAACATTTGTGATTCTGTGTTTCCCACAAAAATGTAAACTGATTTTGACAAATAACAGCAATTACACCTATTATTTTTAGCACTTTGATACTTATTTTCTGAGTAACATGTGTAATCTACAAATAAGAAAAACTGAAAACTGCTGTGATTTTTTTCAAGCAAATTTGACAATCCAATCTATCACAGCATTTTATCATAAAACATATGACTTTTTTTTTCCCCCACTGACTGGTAGTAGTATATAGTATGTCTGACTTTGTAATGATAATGTATTATGATGGTCTTAGAATTTAAAGAGAAAAAAAGAAGGAAAATAATTTTTAAAGTATACTATTTTAATATATTACTTCATAGAATTTAATTATTCCTGGGCTCATCACAAATAAATTGACTTATAACTAGCCTCTCATTTGTACTGATGAAAGTTAACTTGTATAGCAAAAGATGAGTAGAAATTAACTTGCACAGGAAAGGGGGAAAAATAGAAATGACTATTCAAATACTTTTTTGAAAAAGCACTTTCACTGTAAAACTGTTAGATACATTAATCAGTACATAGAATCAGATAAGTGGTATCATGTGGTCAAAGATAGAACCAATAAATTCAATACCAAATAAAAAGGTTTTACTCTTAAAGGCTTTAAAGATATCGTTTGTCAGAACAATGAATTCCTCTCTTTTATATTAAAATCTGAAAGTAATAGTCAAGGGAGAAAAAAACTAAGTACTTTACTAAGTTCCTAGCAATATGGTGCCGGAATCTGTGTCCTACCATTCTTCAGTTAATTTTTAATGGATGATCATTAAAACAGCTGCTACTGCTTCTTTCTTTGTAGACATATATTAAACTACTACACATTTCAAGTGAAATACATGATACTTCCCCCTGAAATAGCCAAAATTTGGGGTTCTAGTATTCTTGGAAGCATTTATCTGCTAGAAAAGATGTGGTTTTAATTCCCTTGTGATAAGGTGAATTTCCTTCATTATCTTCAAGGTTTCTATGTATGAGAGGATTGAATTCCTTCAAGGTCACCCAAAGTCCTGAGAGCTCCAGAGAATTATTTTGGCACTCTGACTTCTATTTTCTGGAACATCTGGCAATGTCTCAGAGTTTCATCAGAGAAAAAAAAATAAAACACACAAAATCTATGGGAAAAAATGTCATAACTGACTATATTTGCCAAGTCAATCATATTCATTCAAGAAATTTTCAGTATAAAGATATGTATCATTATAGAGTGAAAGACTTGGCCTGTATTTAAAATGCTCTCTTTATAGCCCACTGCTATTTATTTGTCTTAGTCAAGGCTGGTAGAGATCTGCTCTCCTAACTTTTGTACTAGATGTAAAATGCAACGCAAAACATTTCAAATGTATTAAATCCAACTGTTGTAAATCCTTTCCACATAAAACTTCCTTCCACCAGCTAACATTTTACCAGAGATATTTTCCTATCAGCTGAGAAAAATAATTATTTCATTACATATAACATCCCCAAGAAAATGAAATTCATTTATAATGTCAAAAATGATTAATTTTTAAAAACATTAAAGAAACTATCATTGACTGTGAAGGATAGTTCATAAATGAAGACTCAGTTGAAGAACAAGAAGTAAATTCTGACATTACCTGAGAAACATTTATCTTTCCATATCGATATACTATCATGATTAATTTTTAAATCACCATAAGAAGAGTTTTATAGGCAATTTTCCACAGTACATTAATATTAACATACTATGATGAGGTTAAAAAAAAAAGGGTCAGGAGGACAAAGTTCTGAAAACTTGGAGCAAGAGGGGAATAGACAACAAATGGAAGACTGAAAACCTAAACCTTAAGTGGCATAATCTTACCATCTTGAGCATATCCTCATTTAGGTCCTTCCCAAAACAACAAATGCATAGTTACATTTGCAAATTATACTGGCATTCAATAATATGCATTTGCTCGATTAAGTATTATTTGAAAATTAAATAAAAATCACAGTTATAAAAGCAAAAAAGAAAAATTCTACTTCTCAAACTATTCCTAATACTTCTTCCAGGATTGTGGCAGAAAGTTTTTAAACAGAAGATATCTTAATTTCTACTGTAAAATTTCAGATTTTAGGTTATACAAAATGTAAATAACTAAGAAGTAAGATGGCAAACAAAACACAAGGCCAACAGCCTTGCAGAAACGTAGAGACAATATCAAAATGCCTGCATGCTGGAATGAAAGGTAACCACACAAGTTTGATAAACAACAGTTAAGGTCATCCATATCAATAGTATGTAACATGAGAGGCAATTGTTTTTAAGTTATACTTGGTCAACAACACCATGCACTAAATAATGTGCTTTACAAAGCATATTAACAGCCATAATTCCTGTCTTTAACATATTATAATTTCAAACAGACCTACGTACAGATAAAAAGACCTTGGTATTCAATTGAACAAGAACTAAAAGGTAGGGTAAAGGAAAGACACCAGCTAAGAGTTTAAAAATCCACTAGAAATAGTGTTTACTGGTAAAAATAACAAACTAATTTACAGTCAAATACAATATCGATTCTTCATCTAAATGGACTAAATGAGAGAAAACTAAAGAAAACAAAAACCTAGAGAGCAGTGGGATGTATACAAAAGTAAAGAATTCTCATATTTGTTCAATATCCAGACAAGTATCAAACTATTATATTACTACATAAAAACAAGTCTTACCTTGTTGCTGTGATGGTGCAATATCAGATTTATCTGTAACATGTAGGTAACTTTGTGATGGTTTGTGTTCAACTTGCTTAACATCCTGATTTCGCTTTTGTTGGTACTAAATAATTTAAGATATGAAGTCATAATATTTTTTAGTTACTTAAAAAAATCTGAGAAGTCAAATTATTCAAGTGTTTATAAAATTTTAATAATATGCTTGCTGTCTAGTTGCTTTTTATTGCCATTTATGTATTAGCACTTCTACCAATAAATAGGTGATGAGGTACATATCACAAAAGAAAAGATGTTGCAAAAAAAAACTTTAAAAAGATTTGGATCATATATACAGATTTCAAATATTGAAGTCATTTCTATTTTTATTAGAAAATTCAGAGCTACTTATGAATCAAACTACTTTATATACATATAATGGATTTAGACAGGATAAGAACTTAATTTGGCAGCAAACTCTTTCATATAACCACTTTTTGCATAAAATGAAAATCTGCATAATGCACTGCAATTTTCGAAGAGCTTTTATATATAGTAACATCATTTAATTCTCAGAAGTGTGAGTAGGTATTGTTATGTTCCATTTGCCATTCAAGAAACATACGCTCCATCATAAGCACTATCATCTCTCTCCCTTACCTATAACATAATCAAATTTGAAATTTACATTAGTCACAAATCTCTTCATAATCACACATCACAAATTGTGTGATTTTCTTTCTTCTCTTTCCTGTTTTATGAGCTTAATTATAAAGAGCCCCTGAAAACAGCTATTACAGGAGCCCCTGAAAACAGCTTTAACAGGAACTTAAAAAGAAATCCCTGAACCCTTGTCAATAAATACAACCATAGAAGAATCTGAAACATCTGTCCACATGGACACAATGTAATCACTGCACCTTTGACAAGCATCCTCTTTATCTAGGGGTAAAAATGAGTAGCTCTAAGCTGCAGTAATAATAACTAGTCTTAACTCTGGTCTTTCAAGTTTAGAGCTGTTAGTCATGTATGTTTCTGCCTCGAAGGAAATATTATCTTGGTGTGTATTTCTAAGATGGGTACTAGGACTACCTCTGGCTCTGGCTGCTGAGACTTTGAACGTTTCTAGTGGTTTCCTTGCTTACTCACAGTGAATAAGAGCTATGAACACAGGAGCTAACCTGCCTGTGTTCAAATCTGGGTAAGGCATTTTCTAGTTTTGACCTTGGGCAAGTTATTTAACTGCTTAATACCTCAATTTCCTCATTCATGAAATAGGGATAATAATAACTACCTCATTAGGCTGTTATAAGGATTAAAGGAGTTAAAATACGTAAAAAACTTAGAACAGCATTTAGCACTATAAATGTGTGCCATTATTACTAACCATACGTCTCTGTCAGCTAAAGAAATCTAACAAAGGAATTTTTTGAGGCCCATTCTTCTGGTAACACTTTATAGTTTTATTCTAAAACAAGCCATCAATTAAAAGGAAGTAAACTTTTATTTTGAAAGTTTTATTGAGATATACATAACAGACAATAAACTGCACATATCTACAGTGTCCAATTTGCTGTTTTGACCTACCTATAAACCCATGAAACTATCACCACAATCAAGATAATACAATAAACATATCCATCAATCTCAAAAGTTTTCTCACACCCTTTTATCTTCTCCCTCTTGCCCTTCCCACCTCTACCTCCTACTGTCCCCAAAAAAGAACTGAAATGTTTTCTATTACTATAAATTAGTTTGCATTCTCTAAAATTTTATATAAATAAAATCAGAGTGATTTTTTTTGTTTGTTTTTGGTATGGCTTCTTTACTGAACATAACTTTTGTAAGAACCATCCATGTTATTGTTTGTATTCATAGTTCATGCCTTTTGATTGCTAAGTATTCCACTGTACAGCATACACCACAATTTGTCCATTTACCAGTTGATGGACAATGTGTTGTTTCTAGTTTTTGGTTACTACAAATATAAAGTTGTATGAACATTCATGTACATGTCTTTGTGTAAATATATGTTTTAGTTTCTCTTGAGAAACTAGGAGTGAAATGCATGGTTCATATGGTGGGTGTGTATTTTTTAAGAAATGGCCAAGCTCTTTTCCATAGGGGTTGGATCGTTTTACATTCCCAATCAGCAAAGTATGAGAGTTCAGTTGCTCCACATCCTTGCCGACACTTGGCGTGACAGTCTTTTAGATTTTAGATATTCTAATGGATATGTAGTGGTAGCTCATTGTGGTTTTATTTTGCATTTTCCTAATGACTAACTCTGCTGAGAATCTTTTTTTTTTTTTTTTCTTTGAGACAGAGTCTTGCTCTGTCACCAGGCTGGAGTGCAGTGGCGCGATCTCGGCTCACTGCAACCTCCACCTCCCGGGTTCAAGGGATTCTCCTGCTTCAGCCTCCTAAGTAGCTGGGACTACAGGTACAAGCCACCACACCCAGCTAATTTTTGTATTTTTAGTAGAGACAGGGTTTCACCATGTTGGCCAGGATGGTCTCGATCTCTTTACCTCATGATCCACCTTCCTCGGCCTCCCAAAGTGTTGAGCTTACAGGCGTGAGCCACCATGCCCAGCTGAGAATCTTTTTATGTGCTTATTTGCTATTCATATATCTGGGTAAAGTACTGGTCCAAATCTATTGTTCATTTTAAACTGGATTGTTTGTTTTCTTAGTACTGAGTTATGTGAGCTCCTTATATATTCTGAACACAAGTCTTTGATCAGATAAGAGATTTGTAAATATTTTCTCCCAGTCAGTGGCTTGCCTTTTAATTCTCTTAACTGTGTTTTGAAGAACAGAAGTTCTTATTTTTGATAAGATCAATTTTAAAAATTATTATTCATAGATAGTACCTTTGGTATCATATCCCAGAAATGTTTGCCTAATCATGGTCACAAAAAATTTTTTCATACTGAAGTTATTAGCATACTTTTTCATTATTAACTAATTTTTCCTAATCATTGCTTGGTCACAGGTTGGTAATACTGAACCCCACATAATCATGTGTTCCACAATCTTTATCTTACATATTTTTTGGTTTCATCCTTAACACATGTACTGCTGCACAATACCATGAATACTTATTCATAAATTACTTCGAAATGAGTAATAAATTGCCAATACACAAACAAAAAACTAATATTGAACTTTTTTAGATTAACACCTTGGTGAGTAATAAACCTATTTTTTCAGTACATGAGATTGCATGGGCCATTGGCTTCACTCAGTATTAAATTTCTTACGCAATACATTTCTTATGAAACACTTTTTACAAATTTCAGTGTAATAAACACTTATCGAGTACTTACTATGTGCAAATTACTAAGCTAGGTAGTGTATGCAGATACAGAGATGTAAATTAAATAGCTACCTTACTTTTATATATATTATTTTTATGTTTTATTTATTTATTCACTTTTTTGAGACAAGAGTCTCACTCTGTCACCCAGCTGGAGTACGGTACAGTGGTGTAATCTGCTCTCACTGCAACCTCTGCCTCTCGGGCACAAGCAATCTGCTGTCCACATCAGCCTCCCAAGTAGCTGGAACTACAGGAGCCTAGCTAATTTTTTTATTTTCTGTAGAGACGGCATTTTGCCACATTGCCCAGGCTGGTCTCAAACTCCTGGACTCAAGTGATCCGCTGTCTCGGCCTCCTAGAGTTTCTGGGATTACAGGTGTGAGGCATTGCACCTGGCCGTTACTTTTATTCTTTAATTTAAAGATAGGCAATTAAGGCTTAAAAGGGGCTAATATGTTCAAGGGCACAGCTTAGGTGAACTAAGATTTATATCCAGGCTTGAGTTAGGAAATAAAAGAGGCATGATTTGAAGCTATCTGACTTCAGAGGCTTGGATCTTGATGGGGTACCATGCTAAGGCAATATTGTTTCAATTCTCATTTTAAGTAAAATATAAGTGCTATTAATTTGGTACCTGGGAAAAATCTTCAGCGGCTACTGGTAAATTAACATCATTTTCTTGTAATGTCAGAAGTGTTGTGGGAAGAACAAGGTTAGAATTTGGCTCCAACTCCAATTCTCCCAAACTCATTGGACCATGACTAGCACATGAATCTTCATAAATACTACCTGTTATCAAAAATGTAAACAAAAAGTTAAAATAAATTGTTAAATTTATCTTCAAAAATGAACAAGTAGTTGACTAAAACTACCAGTATGTCTCACCTGCTGAATTAGAACTAGCAGTATACTTCAAACAAAAACACCCGGACCAAGCCTTCACTGCAGTTAAAACCAAAACTCAGAGAGAATGCAAAAAGTACCTATGTTCAAACAAATCCATGCAATATTCTACGTAAAGTTTCAATCAACAAGTTGTCCATGCAGTTCATCTGAAGCCTCCTTGCCACATACGAACTCTTAACACTCCTGCTTACCGTTCCTATCTCTAAGAGTCAAAAGAATACTTTCTATCTAAAAGGTAATCTTAAAGCAAAGGGCAATTTCCTGCCTGGAAAATGTTTGTACTGCCTAGCTCTATTCTGTGAATTTTTTTCTTCAAGTGATCAAGCTCTTCTTTTTTTATCTAAATGGCACCTCTGGCTGGGCGCAATAGCTCATGCCTGTAATCCAGCACTTTGGGAAGCTGAGGCAGGTGGATCGCCTGAGGAGAGGAGTTCGAGATCAGCCTGGTCAACATAATGAAACCTGTCTCTACTAAAAATACAAAAATTAGCTGGGTGTGGTGGCATGTGCCTGTAATCTCAGCTACTCAGGAGGCTGAGGCAGGAGAATCACTTGAACCCGGGAGGTGGAGGTTGCACTGAGCTGATATAGCATCACTGCACTCCAGTCTGGGTGACAAAGTGAGACCTCGTCTCAAAATAAATAAACAAACAAATAAATAAATAAATGGCACCTCAGTCAAATCAATAAAAAGAAGACAAGAGCAGAGATATCTATGTATCTAATAATAACATCACTGTACCTTTGTATTGCACTATATACTCCAAGCATTTTCATATATGAGTACATGATCTTATTACATTTGAACTTTACAATCATTCTGTAAGACAGACATGTTACAGTATTGTAACTGTCTCTCACAGACATTACTAAGGTTCAGAGAAGTTAACTAACTGTCCAAAATCAGAGAGCTAGTAAGAAGCACAAAGGAATTAAGTCACTGCTCTCTGTTTCACAGTCTTGCTAGATAATCTTTTAAAATATAATCAATAGAAATAGACCTGGAGTTATATGCAAATTAAGTTGTTTTAAATACATATATTTAAAATTTATATATTTATTTTATTTTATTTTATTTTATTTTTTTAAAGACAGAGTCTCACTTCTGTTGCCCAGGCTGGAGTGCAATGGCATGATCATGGCTCCCTGCATAATTGACTTCCCAGGCTCAGGTGATTCTTCCACCTCAGCGTCCCGAGTGGGTGGGACTACAGGTGTGCACTACCACACCTGGATAATTTTTTGTATTTTTAATAGAGACAGGGTTTTGCCACGTTGCCAAAGCTGGTCTGAAACCCCTGGGCTCAAGTGATCTTCCTGCCTCAGCCTCCGAAAGTGCTGGGATTATAGGCATGAGCCACTGCACTGCACCCAGCCTGAAAAAATATTTTAAACACGCCATAGATATTTTCCATTTAAAGGCATTCTATTGACAATTTCCTAGATATAGCAAATAATCACTCTGATTGATCTTTTATGTTAATCTAGGTTTTCAATAGGGTTTTACATAAAGCAAAATACATCTATTGAGTTCTAATTTTTTTTTTTTTTTTTGAGATGGAGACTCACTCACCCAGGCTGGAGTGCAGTAGTGCAATCTCGGCTCACTGCAACCTCCGCCTCCAGGGTTTAAGCGATTCTCCTGCCTCAGCCTCCCGAGGAGCAGAGACTACAGGCATGTGCCACCATACCCATCTAATTTTTGTATTTTTAGTAGAGACAGTGTTTCACCATATTGGCCAGGCTGGTCTTGAACTCCTGACCTCAAGTGCTCAAGTGATCTACTCGCCTTGGCCTCCCAAAGTGCTGGGATTACAGGTGTGAGCCACCATGCCCAGACGCATTGAGTTTTGATTTTTACTATTATAGTATTACATCTGTATAAAACAATTTATCAAAATTATTACCTGATTAATTCTCATTTAATTATCTAACATGAGATTAATTTAAGTAATGGTAATAATACCTATAATTTAAAGTAACTCATGTTCCAGGCTTTATTTGCCTCTTTATATTCTGTTATGCCTTTTTGTATTCCTATGTGACTTCTTCGACATTTTTCTAAGATAAATTAAGAGAAAATTAAGAATTACATATAATGTTAAAAACGAAGATATTGAAAACTCTTTTGCTGATAATATGGTATATGCCTAGAAAATCCCAGAGACTCTAATGAAAACAAAAGAACTCTATTAGAACTAATACGAGAATGTGGTAATGTGACTGGATATCAGATAAATAGATAAAAATGATTAGCTTTTTTCTATAGTATAGCAACATGATTAAGCCATGAAAGCACAGAAAGTATAAAAGATAGAAATACCTATACATAAATTTTCAAATTATATGGCAAAAAAAGATCAACAATGTCAGTGAACAAAATATAAATTTGGATAAAAATATTTACAATACAAATAGTAGAAAACATCTAAACTATACAAACAGCTTTAAAAATAACAAGAAAAATTGAGAACCTCCCAGATGGGAAAAGAACTTTATAGGAGCACATACAAATGGCCAACAAACATATGACTGAAAAGACATATAAACTCACCAGGAGTCAGAAACATATCTTCATATTTCTACTGAGGCATATAAAAAAACTATTCAACACAATTTCAGGAGGAGATGTAAGGAAAGGGCACTAATAAATTGCTGATAAAAATATATTGGTTTAAACTTTCAAGAAAGCAACTTGGCATTATTTATTTCCAAACTAAAGATATATTTGCTCATGTATAGAAGAGCTTCCAGGAGTACATACACTGGAGTAAGGAGTAGTATATAAAACACAACAACCTGGTAGGATACGTGTGTGGATACTTACTCTAGCATTGTTTATAGTGCAGGGAAATGGTAATAAACAGCCATCAATAGAGAAACAACTAAATAAATTATTGGAAATCAACACTATGAAGTTTTATGCAATCATTAAAATGAACAAATTTAAGTAATACCAATTGACCTGGAATAATCTACAGGGTTTACTGCGTAAAACACAAAATGCAGGCAAGTGTGCAAGATATGATTTCAAGTTGTAAAATAATGGCAATCACACACACTATATATATTGTACATGCATGTGTGCCTAAAATTATATGTGTGAGGTAAAAAACAGGAGGGTTATATGCCAGAATCTTAACACGGGTTACTTGGGATAAGGCATACATGGGACAGGAAAAAAGTGGTGGTGGGAAGCACTCAAAAAGTGTGTAATAGCTTTCACATCATATACCATCCTATAATTTAACAGATATTTACTATGATCTGTGTACTACATAACCTGCTAGGTGACAGGGATATGACAGTAAACAAGATAAAGTCCATACCCTCACGTGAGATTACAAATCAGTGTGGTAAGAGCAACATTAGGCAGGTGACATTAGAGAATTATACAGAGTACATATGACAGGTATTTAACCCAGTGATAAGGGTCAGGAAAGGATTCCATGACAACAATCATAACAGTGCTGAATTTGCTGTGTCTTCTAACAAGCAGGCTCACTGAGTGTGGGTGTCTTACACCCTTTGCAAGTTAGACCTTTAAAAGAGGGATTTTAAAATATTATTTCAATCAAGTCAAATTTAATTTAATTTAATTAATCATAACTAGAAATCCCTAATTTTGCTTTCCTAGGATTTTATTGTAGTGGAGAGCAACCATGGCAGACTTTTAGAGAACACTAAATTTGCCTAAAATTGCCAGTCCAGCAAGAATTTTTGGTCTGGCATATCTAACGGATTTTTTTCATTTGCATGAAAGTCAAAGGCATCACACATTCAGTATGTTTAAACCCCACTCCACCTCCTTCCTCCTAATTCTGTCCTTCCTCCATATTCACTCTCTCTCAGTGACTGAGATGACCATCTATCCAATAATTCTAGCCAGAAACCTAGGTATTTCTTAGACTTTCTGCTACTTTTTTACTGCTCACACTCAAATGAATTCCTGTCCATCTCCTTAATTCTCTCTCAAATCTCCCTTTTTATATATCCTCCCTACTGAATAATATCTCATCAGGTCAACTTTAATGGTTGTCTAATCAGGTTCCTTGCATCCAGTCTTAACTCATACAATCTACCCATCACATTGCACCTCAGATGATCTTGCTAAATAAAAGGTAAATATGATCATATCACTCATTTATTTATAATCTTTAGCAGACTGATGAATATCACACAATATTCAGAATTGACAGAAACTTAAGACTGAACTGTTCATGGGAATAAGTATAAAGTAAGACTTACTATTTCCCATTTTGTATACAAAGCGATCCTTACTGCACTCCTTAATAGATCATCCAGGGCTTTTCATGACCTGGTTTCTGCTCCCTGCTGCAATTTCATTGTATCTTAAGCTCTACTTCTTTGACAAAAACACCTCATTTCTGTGATTAACCCTTGTTTTTTTTGTTTTTTGGGGGTTTTTTTGCCTTTGTTCCCTGTCTTATTGCATATTCTGCCTGAAAGGTCCCTCCTCACTCACCACATGGCAAGCATTTATTCATCTTTGGGGAGTCACTTCAAGCAAGACTTCCCTCATCTATGAAGTCTTTCCTGAATCCCTTCAACTACAATTGACCTGAACATCCATCCTATATGGACTTCTTCACAATAACTACAGTAATTTATTGCATGCTTTTGCTTTCTTATCTACTATGTCTACTAGAGAAAAAACAATCATTGTGAACAGGGCCTTACCAAGTTTCATATTCATAGAACCTAGCACATGCTCAGCACATAGCAGGCACTCAAAAATGTCTTCTGAATAAGGTAAATGAACAAACTGGAATATTCTTATAATTTACCATCTGGCTAATTCCCTTAAGATTCAATTTCACATTGGCTCTTGCAGAAAACGTTTTCTAAGCCCTCACAAATGAGTTGAATTCCTCCTCTGCACTCCCACAGCCGTATGTTGTACTAGTCATACAATATTATAATTGTTATTTATTTCTCCCACACTAGTTAGTAAATGTCTTGAGAGCAGACACCTATCATCTTTGAATCTTGACTGCTTAATGTAGTATTTACACAGCTCTAGGTATACAGTGGGTATTCAATACAGGTTTTTTGAGTAAATAAAAAGCTGTAGTTTGTAGTATATCCCAGGGTCCACATATAATTCATTCAAATTATAGCTTACATTTTAGGGTCCCCAAGACAACTCCTCAAAGTCAATTTTGCATCATTCAGTTACTCAACCCAACCTGAGAGCCTAAGGAATGGAGACAGTGACAGAGAACTACAGGAAATAGGACATTTCCTGAAAATTAGCAGGGGTGGGGAGGGGCGAAGTAAGAATAGATGACCCTCTGTGAGCAACGCTGATGAAAAGCAATACCAATCACTAGCATATATAGTTGATTCTCATCTATGGACCACAGCTATATTCTGTGGTCACCAGGATACAATCTTGAAACAAGAGGAACAAATTAGTTTTCTATAGGCAAAGTCCTTTTAGTCAACTGTTGGTAGTTTCTGATTCTATGAAGTACATATAAGATAGTACTTTTCATGCTCCAAGCATTATTAAAGAGAACAACGCCATGTGCCAAGCACTGTGCTTACTACTTCACATGCATTATCAAATACATGTACCTAATAACCGTAATGAGACAGACACTATTACCTCCAAGATAGCCCCCAATGATCCCTGCCCTCTTGGTATTCACACCTTTTTAAACTCATCTGTTAAGTTGTTCCATGATTGGTCTGCGTTATCAATGGAATATGACAGAAGTGATGGCATGTCACTTTGGAGATTAGGTTATAAAAGACATTATCAGCTGGGCGCAGTGGCTCACACCTGTAATCCCAGCACTTCGGGAGGCTGTGGCAGGTGGATCACTTGAGTTCAGAAGTTTGAGACCAGCCTGGCCAACATGGCAAAACCCCATCTCTATAAAAACATACGAAAATCAGCCAGGCATGGTGGTGTGCATCTGTAGTCCCAGCTACTCAGGAGCTACTTTCTCTCAAAAGAAAAAAAAAAAAAAAGACAGTATTGTTTCCATCTTGATTGCTTACTTTCTCTTGGGAGATGCCTGCTACCACATCATTTATGGCCCTATGGACTGTTTAACATGGTGAGGAAGTGAAGCCTCTTGCTAAAGGCACATGAGTGAGCTTGGAAAGTGGATCCTACAACCCTAGTCAAGCCTTCAGATGACCTCAGTCCAAGCCATCATCTTGACTGCCATGTCAGGAGAGATCCTGACAACCACCCAGGTAAGCCACTACCGGATTTGTGACTTTCAGAGTTCTGTGAGATAATAAATATTTATTGCCTTCAGCTGTTAAATGTGGGGTAATTTTGTACATAGCAATATTATTCCCACTTGACACATGAAGAAATTTGGGTTCAGGAACATTAAGTTACTTGACCAAAGATATACAGAGCTGGAATTCAAACCCATTTCGGAAACTCTCAAAGCCTAAACTCTTAGCTATTTTGCTATACTGCCTTACATATGTGCTCAGTCTTATGTTATACCGTGTTACTTATTTTTTCCAATCAAACAAATACCTACAATGTATCTAACATTAAAAATGCACTGTCCTATAGGTAATCTGCTAGGGTTACCAGAAATTTAAGAAAGGACCAGAGAGGCTATCTCCTCAGGGAGTTTATTCTGTAACATTTCAACTAAGTGCCTAGTTGCTCTCAGGTACCTAGTAGCTCTTAAGTACCTAGCAGTTCAAGTGATTTGCGAGAGCCACCTAGTGTTAACTCTGTTTAACTGCATTCTGCACATTTAGCTGGACATAAATGTAAGTCACATTTCATGCTATTTGAATCCTACAAATTTTAAAGAATGTAAAACATTTAATACTCTCATTATGTGTACAAAATGAGAAATGAGGCCAATCTTTACATTTATTCACATGGGAAATTCAGTCTTGAACTTCTCCCAATTCTGAACGATACAAGGTATTCATTCATTCAATATGAAACTAAATACTCTAAATTCAGGCTTTTCCTTTTCTGATTTTTGGCAAATCTGAATGCCTCCAGAAGTTTCTTTTCACTTGAGAGAAAGAAGCAATGGACATTTAAAAATCAATAATAAGAATATAGCAGATCCTCATTTATTTGTAAATTACATATTTGCAAATTTACCTACTTGCTAAAATGTATTTATAATCCCCAAATCAATACTTGCAGCACCTTTGTGGTCATTTGTGGACACGTACAGAGTGGTGAAAAACTTAAATTGCCTTATATGCATTTTTCCAGTTGATGCTGAACAAGGATACATTCCACCTTATTTCAGCTCTCATGCTGTAAACAAGTGACCTTTTCACAGTATACGTAAAGTTGTGTTTTTCACATTTCATGGTTTTTGTTTGTTTGTTTGTTTTTTTGTTTGTTTTTCGGTGATTTCACTGTTTAAAATGGCCCCTTAGCGCTGAGGTACTGTCTAGTGTTTCTTTCTTTTTTTTTTTTTTGAGACAAAGACTCGCTCTTGTTGCCCAGGCTGGAGTGCAGTGGCGCGATTTCAGCTCACGGCAACCTCTGCCCTCTCACCTCCCGAGTTCAAGCAATTCTCCTGCCTCAGCTTCCCAAGTAGCTGAGATTACAGGTGCCTGCCACTATGCCTGGCTAATTTTTGCATTTTCAGTAGAGATGAGGTTTCACCATGTTGGCCACGCTGGTCTTAAACTCCTGACCTCAAGTGATCCGCCCACCCTGGCCTCCCAAAGTGCTGGATTACAGGCGTGAGCCACCGCGCCCGGCCTGTCTAGTGTTTCTAAGCACAAAAAGGCTCTTCTGCTGTGTCTTATGGAGAAAATATATGTGTTAGATAGGGCTCCTTCAGGCACAAGTTACACTGCTGGATAGTTCAATGGCTGTGAGTTCAATATTAATGAATCCAAAATATATATTAAATAAGATTTCTTTAAACAGAAACATAAATAAAACCAGGTTATATATTGATCAGTTGATAAAAATGTTATGACCAGAGGCTCACAGAAACCTAATCCTGTATTTATCCTAGGAGCAATGGTTCAATATTTGTTAATATGTTTGTGGTGACCACAGAATATAACGGTCCAGAAATGAGAGTCAACTATATATGCTAGCGATTGATATTCTCTACTCTATCCTTATTTCCAACGTGTCACAACAGAAAGTTTATTTAAATTCTAAAATAGTCCTGAATGCACTAAGTGCTACTGAAATCCATATAGTATAAGGAATAAATATCTACAGTATTATCTAATTTAACCTTGTCCTAAAGATCTGTTATGTCAGTTTTCATGAATTTGTTATATTTTTCTAGTACATATTAAAATAAATGCATCAGCTGGGCACGGTGGCTCACGCCTGTAATCCCAGCACTTTGGGAGGCTGAGGCGGGCAGAATACCTGAGGTCAGGAGTTTGAGACCAGCCCGGCCAACATAGTGAAACCCTGTCTCTATGAAAATACAAAAATTAGCTGGGCATAGTGGCACATGCCTGTAATCCCAGCTACTCAGGAGGCTGAGGCAGCAGAATAGCTTGAACCCGGGAGGCAGGGGTTGCAGTGAGCCGAGATCATGCCATTGCATTCCAGCCTGGGCGACAGAGCAAGACTCCATCTCCAAAAAAAATAAAAAAATAAATGAAATAAAATAAAATAAAATAAAATAGGCCAGATGCGATGGCTCACACCTGTAATCCCAGCATGTTGGGAGGCCGAGACAGGCAGATCACGAGGTCAGGAGATAGAGAGCATCCTGGTTAACACGGTGAAACCCCGTCTGTACTAAAAATACAAAAAATTAGCCAGGTGTGGTGGTGGGTGCCTGTAGTCCCAGCTACTAGGGAGGTTGAGGCAGGAGAATGGCGTGAACTCGGGAAGTGGAGCTTGCAGTGAGCCGAGATTGCACCACTGCACTCCAGCCTGGGTGACAGAGTGAGACTCTGTCTCTAAATAAATAAATACGTACACAAATAAGCAAATAAAATGAAATAAAAGTATCACAGTTAAAAAGTTTTAAGTGTATGTATGTGTATTACCAAAATTAATTCACATACCACCCAATGGTTCAAGTACCAACATTGATATATGAATCACATTTGGGGAAACACTGCTATATATACTATAAAAAAAGTTATCACCAAACTTTTCAATTATTAAAATCCCTTTTAATAAAGAAATTTTGCAAGCCCCCATCTGAAAATAGGTATACTTTTCTCAACTCAGATTAGGGATGCTACTATGACACATCAAGAAAAAATATTTTGGTGTATACCTGAAACTGCGTCAAAGTGCCGAGATAATGGTTTAGGATCACACTGTTGATCCAAAGACTGTGCATTAGTGACAGGTGGCTGTGTATAGAGAGAATGTCCCATTAAGATGTTCTCTGCTGCCGCTGTTAGCTGGGGTCTTTGTCCTTCACTAAGTTCACCCACACTGTTTTCCAAGTCCTTTAAAAAGTAGAAACAATTGTTAAGACCATTATATTAAAATCAAGTCAACACAGGAAATGTTTGCCAAATATCATGAACAATACCCTTTGACTCCTTGGAAGGTATTTTACAAACTGCCTTCTATGCCACATATACGTTACATGCAAGAAAAGTTCAAGAAGTTAGTCTAATAAGCCTAGTGATAGGCTTTGTTTTCAATATAATAATTTCATATATTTTATGAAATTAACCACTATCTGTTTTTCAATTCCACTATCTATTTTTCAAGCGCCAATTAAATAGCAATAAAACACAAAAGAAAAATTATATTACAATTTAAAATACTCAGTGGGGCCAGCACGGTGGCTCATGCCTATAATCCTAACACTTTGGGAGGCCGAAGCGGGTGGATCACTTGAGCTCAGGAGTTCAAGACCAGCCTAGGCAACACGGCAAAACTCCATCTCGACAAAAAATACAAAAATTAGCTGGGCATCATAGCACACACCTGTAGTCCCAGCTACTTGGGGGGCTAAGGCAGGAGGTTAGCTTGAACCCAGGAGGCAGAAGCTGCAGTGAGTGAGATTGCACCACTGTACTCCAGCCTGGGTGACAGAGTGAGACCGTGTCAAAAAAGACAAAAGATCAAAACCACTAAATGCTGGTATGCATTACACATTGTTCATACAGCTTAAAGTGGGAATAACAGAAAATTTATCTCATTCTTCATGAATAAAAATTGCCTCAAGGTTGTTAGTGGAAACTTTATAATTAAACAACTGATGAGAATAATATACTTTAAACAGCATAAAGGTCACCCCATATATCAATAATAAGATTTTTATTAAAGTATAGAGGCCTAGCTCACACCATCCAGCACTTTGGGAGGCCGAGGTGGGCAGATCACAAGGTCAGGAGTTTGAGACCAGCCTGGCCAATATGGTGAAAACCTGCCCTACTAAAAAAAAAAAAAAAAAAAAAAAAAAATTAGCCAAGCGTGGTGGCAGGTACCTACAGTCCCAGCTACCCGGGAGGCTGAGGTAGGAAAATCGCTTGAACCCAGGAGGCAGAGGCTGCAGTGAGCCAGGATCAAGCCACCGCACTCCAGCCTGGGCGACAGAGTGACGCTCTGTCTCAAAAAAAAAAAAAAAAGTATAGAGATTACAGAAGACTACTTTACTCATATTTAATAATGTTCTTTTTCCTTGGAAAAATAAAAAATACAAAAAGCACAGAAATTGTTGGCCGGGTATGGTGGGTCACGTCTGTAATCTCAGCACTTTGGGAGGCCACGGTGAGCAGATCACCTGAGGTCAGAAGTTCCAGACAAGCCTGACCAATATGGCAAAAACCTGTCTCTACTAAAAATACAAAATTAGCAGGCGTGGTAGTGCATGCCTGTAATCCCAGCTACTCGAGAGGCTGAAACAGGAGAATCGCTTGAACCCAGGAGGCAGAGGTTGCAGTAAGCCGAGATCCCGCCATTGCACTCCAGCCTGGGCAACAAGAGTGAAACTCTGTCTCAAAAACAAAACAAAACAAAACAAAATTGTTTTAAATGAAATCTATGAAATAAATGAACAACTGAAAAAATATAAGACTCCTATTTTCTTTCTGTATTAAAAAATTATAAATCCTAATCACTAGTACATTTTATGACTTGAGATACTCTAATTAATGAATTTACTAATTAAGAACTGAAGAAAAATTCCAATATCTGAAAGCTCCCATGTTTCTCATTTAAAAGGGGTTTAATTTCAACCAACAAGTGTTTTTTTTTACTAGAATATATGAAGAAATCACTGCTGAAACATCTTTGATGATTCCATTGACTATAAAATAAAATCTAAACTTCTTAGCTCAACATTCAAGATTCTCTTCAATTTGTCTTCACTCTCCTATGTACATCTCTATCTCTCCATATTCTCTTAGCCTGACTCTTCTTTAGGAAGGAATACTGATTGCCTCAACATCCTTTAAATGAAAAAATACTGTTTCATAATTAATATGAAATCCCTTGGAGACTCTTGGGCAGTGTTTAGAATGACAGCAATTATGTTTTCTCCAGAAATTGAGAAATATTTCACAATGCCTATATTACTCTGCCAATCTACAGTAACTTCTCTGTTGCGAATCTGTTTTCTAGGATACTTGTAATTGCTGAACTATTTAACACCTTAAGAATACTCTATGACCCTACTGAAGACTTATCTTGCCTATTTACAAAATGCCCTCATACTCACAAGTATCTCTGAGTTTTGGATTATACTTAGTGCTTAAACTCATGTCAATTTAAGTCAGGCTGCCTATAATACAGAGTAATATACCTAGCCTATCTACATATATGTACAAATTACAGTTTGCCATCAGCCAGCTCTCACTGACCTAATGCCCCTCTGAGCAAGAAGTTTCAAGCACAAAGAAAAACCACTATTTTCTTAGCAAAACAATATTTTAACTTATAATGTATCACTGTTACTAGTTCTTATTACAAACAAATGTAATAGTCCTTTAGACAGGAAAATATGCAAAATGTCACTGTTAATCTGACTGGCAAAAATTTAAGATTAAAAGCATTATGTGTGACATGGGAAAGGGATCTCATACGTTAGGGCAATTTTTCAGTGCCTACTTAAATTATGAATGCTTATATCTTTGAGCCAGCAATGCCATGCCTTAGTATCTAAATCTAGAAAAATAATTTCTCATGAGTTAAAAAAGAGGATTTTATACCTAGTATAGTTTGATTAGGGAATAACTGGAACCAATCTAAAAATCCTTCAATAGGAGAATAATTAAACTATGGTATACTACATGGTAGGTAAAAAGAATATAGATCTTCAGGATTTATGTTAAATTTTAAAAAGCCTTGCAACTGGCTTTTTAAAATTTAAAATTGCACAACAAAATATACGCACACCTCAAAATTACATACTAAGCCAGAAATGGTGGCTCACACCTATAATCCCAGGACTTTGGAAAGCTGAGGTAGGAGGATCACTTGAGGTCAGAAGTTGGAGATCAGCCTAGGCAACAGAGTGAGACCCCATCTCTACAAAAAATAAAAAATTAGCTAGGCATGGTGCTTGCCTATAGTCCCAGCTATTCTGGGGGCTGAGGTGGGAGGATTGCTTGAGTCCAAGAGTTCGAGGCTGCAGTGAGCTGACTGAGCCACTGCACTCCAGCATGAACAACAGACTGAAACTCTGTCTCAAAAAAATTCATACATATATATACACACACACATATACATATACACGAATATATTTTTATGCATATACAAATGGTTAATGCTTAGAAAAAGATCTGGAGAAAATAGAATTCTAACTTCTGCATTGCTGGTCTAGCCAGGACAGCACAATAACATAGGCTGACAGCTCTCAAAATCAACACTGGAGTAACTACAGAGATTCTGAGAACTAAAGTAAAAGCTGTGAAAACCCGCTGGAAAGACAGACAGTTAACTTAAACTGGTGTGTGTGGAAAGAAAGGGGCTGCATCCTAGGGAAGAGGCTGTGTGGAGGAGCTTCGTGACAGGAATGACTGGAGAAAAGTGCTTGTTTCTTCCTCCATTAATTTGAGATCACTGCTTGCCCCTCAACCATAAAAGTCTTCTTGTCAACAACCCCAGCTGCAAATGCTGGCGCCCCAGAGTAATATCAGGGAACATGAAGGCCTAGCTATGGTGACAACTATAGATGAAATCTGTCCAGAAGCCCATCCGTGGGCATTCATTCCTTCACCTTCTTCCCCTCCAAACCCCAGGACTAGCGGATTATAAACCCTCTCAAAGCAACTTCTTCCTAAGGGCTTAAAGACACAATAATCACCAGAAGAGCTATATAGTGGAGTAACAGCAAACAGCAGGGACAGTGACCAAGGGTGGCTCTGTGCTGCCTGAGGCTCTCCTCCCTAGGGCTCTCTCCTCCCCTCTTCTTCAACTCTCTGAAACAGACCATGGACTGGTTTTATCCTTACCCAAATTCTCAGACAGAATAGTTGATTCCATCAGTGAAATATGAACTCACAGGTCAAAAGAACCAGATACCTGAGAAGTCAATAAGTTTAAAAAAGAAAAAAAAACAGACAACAAAGTGAATGATATTAATCAGACAGACAGACAGACATACAGTAGGCGATAAGAAAATACATTAAAATGCAAAGCAAAAAAAAAAGAAAACAAGAATGTCAAGTACGAAAAATACAATAAATGGGATAAACAGTATGGTAGAGAACAAATTAATAGTTAGCAGATCAGATTGGGGAGCTCTCCCAGAATGGAGAAGAAAAGAAAGAGATAGAAAATTTAAGGTATAAAAATAGAAACAGAAGTGTCAATATCTAGAAATAAGAGTTTGGGAGGCAGGGGAGGGGTGGAAATGAAAGGGAGAAAGAAATAATGAAGATAAATCTCCCAGCATCTAAAAGATAAAAAGGTCTGATAAAATTGAACAAATAAAACAGATATTAGTGATTTCCAAAAAGAAAACTGGGATTAGTCAGTGGAATTTATAAATTATGCAGACACTTCTGCTATTTGCCACCTCTTTTTGTACAATTTGCTTGTCTCATTCTCTCTCCCTCCTTCCCTCTCCCTCTTTCTCTCTCCTTTCCCCACATACATGCACTTTCTCTCTCTGTACATGCACTTTCTCTCTCTCCCGTCCCTTCTTTCTCTCTCTCAACTTACTGGTTTCGATACTAAGCACCTTAGTTTCTGCAGCTATGAGAGTACGTTTTTGAATTTAGCAACACAGACATCACAACTAATATTTTTCCGGTGAAATCAATTTTTGGTCTGTTGCTAACTAAAGTTACAGAAAATTTAATTATTTTAAATTTAGAAGGAATATGTTAAGGAATATGTTAAGCTTTCATTTTTTCCCATTACTAAATTCTATATCTTCTCTTATCTTTCCTAATCATTTAAAGTTTTAAGAATAAAAATAGGAAATAAAACCAACCATCTCCTTGGGCCCTATATAGTCTTTAGATCTCCAGCTCATCTAAAGCCAGTTGACATTTGTTCATGCAAAGACAACCAGATATGATAGAAACAGCACTATAGATCAAGAATCCTAGTCCCAGCTCCATCATTAACCAGTCTGAATGACAATGTTGTATATTTCTACCTGGAATTTCCTTAAGCACCTTAAATTTGATGTGTATATCAAACTCATTACTTTCCCCACAAAATCTGGCACTCTTCTCTCTGCACTTCTAAGCCAACAACTCTACAATCACCTACCCAGGCTCCCAAGGTAGGAACTTCAAGATTATCCTTAAAAAAAAGCTTCTTTACCTCTCTCAACCATTGACCAATTACTGTCAATCCTATGCCCTTAAATTTAAATCTCTCTCCTCACTATTTCTGCTGTAACTGTCTTTGTTCATATTATCATTCTCTCTTGCTGGGTCTACTACAGTGGTGTTCTGACAGATCCCCCATGTCTCCCTCATTTGTTTATGGCTTCATACTCCTTCCTAAGGCAACTCCCTTGCCCAAAAACCTTCATGGGCTCCACAGTGCCCAAGCCTTAACATGGCCTAAATAAAATGTTCTTTATGATCATCTGGTTCAATCTACTACTCCACACATATCTGATTCTTTATCTAAAGTTCTAGCCACACAGAAATTTTCAATACTTTCCAAATATGCTTTAATATTTCTTGGCTCTCATCCCTTAACAAATGATATTTCTGCTTCTGAAATGCCCTTCCCCCCTTTCATTGCTGCCTGCAAAGTCCTACTCCATCTTTAAAGACTGACATCAATGTAATATTGTGTATGAAGTGTCATCTAACTTCAAGCAGAGTCTTTTCTCCTGTGTGTTCATATAGTACTTGTAAATACAGCTATTTGATCAGTTATTGCACTGCTGAATAATTACTTGTGTAAGCCCTTATCTTCCTTCATGACTGTAAGCTGCTTAAAGGTAGGGGTCATGTCTTATTTATCTTTGCATCTTTTCCCAGGTTGTGTCTGGCATATAACGGATACTCAATAAATAATTGCATAATGAATGAATAATCCTCACAAAGCTTTAGCTTTTTTAGCTGTAGAATAAGGTGGTTGGAACAGATGGTCTAAATTCCTTTCAGTTATAAAACTCTACAGTTCTATGACTCCAAGTTAAAGTTGCTATAACACTGACCCTTGAAAAAACAAAATACTAGCATGCTTTAACTAGGAGTAAGAATATTTTAATTTTTTTCCTGTATTTATATCTAACAAAAAAAAAAGTCATTAAAGTTAAAAAGTACCTCTGAATGACAGACTGCTTGCTGTGAAACTGCTGACTCCTGGTTTTCTTTAGCAAGAACAGAAAGAATTACATCTGCATGAAATTTTTTATGGGGCATCCTAATCACTTGCCCTTCACTAGGAGGATCATCCTCCTAAAAGAAACATAAAGACAATTAACAAAAATAAATTATTTCAAACAATTGCATTTTTCTCAATTTAAGATTAATAAAAACTTAGCAGTCATGAAATGACGGTATTAGCATTTTTGGAAAGGAGATGAACTCTTTATTTTCATCCAGTTCTCATTTCCATTTGTCTATTATAAAAGCCCTCTACCTTTGCCTCAAATATAAACCACAGTATAATTCGGTAACACGTAAACTAGAGATTATAAAAACATAAAAATCAAACCGTCTGTCCCATGCAGTTGAGCTACTATGAATCTTAAATGTTTTTTATGATATCACTGTTTTTGGGTCACAGCCTCCTCTTCATATTTCTGCAGTAAAGTAATGCCACAGTGTGGCAATGGGGGCAAAGCGTTGTAATGCTGCAACCTGGACCACAAGCAAAAATGAAAAACTGCAGAAGTATGGTATGGCAGCGATAGACCTCAATGTCCCTTTGCCTTTGGGCTGACATCTGGCTTACTTGGCGAGGGCACTGGTATTGAAGACCCTCACTGGAGCACCCTGTATAGGCTTCTTCGTGCCTCAAAATAGGCTCGTCTCAACAATGAGGAACAGTGTGGGCCTCAGAGTCCAACAAAGGAGATTATCTTGTAAATACAGGTATTAACATGATTTTAAATTATAAGTACCTATTCCCTAGCTATGTATAGATAAATGCCAACTGGTACATGACTTCAAGTTATTTGGGGTTTTTCCAGATTGTACTTTTGTATTTGACTTTATTATGAATTTGTAGCATATGTGATTTAGGCATAGTAAAAATATCAAAATTAGAATTTAGTTTCAAATGTAGAAAAACAGAAACAAGTTATAATTTAGTCTTGTTTCGATTTAGCTATTTACTTTAAATAAATTTAAACATGTTTTGCCACTTGAAAAAGTTCAAAGAAGAGAAAAATGCTATCACGGTACACTAAATAGGCCAAATGTTAGTAATGCTTCTCTGAAAATAAAGATATCTCATTTATGCCTTCTTCCCATATTATTTCATAAAAGTGATTGCTGTGCTCTCTTCACAATTAACTCAAGCAATTACTTGCAATAAATAATTACTGTTTAAAAATTGTTTCATTAAAATCTTATCAAAAAACTTATTAATGAAGTATTTTCATAGGCCTATGTGAAATAACTTAAAAAAATAGCAACAAAGCTTTAAAAAGATGTAAATAAATATAGATGACAGTTGAGTACAATTATCTTTCCTTGCTTAGGTTGTTTAAATGTATATAAAGTAAAGATTTCTATTCCTTAATGGTTTTTTCGAAAGAAAATTCTTACTATCATTTCTATATATTTATATATAATGTGATATTTTTAAATACCAACTTTTGCTTCTACAGATATAGATAAAAACTAGAAAGGGTTAGTATCCCAGACCTCATTTTTCTTTTTAAGCTATTAAATTTAAACATTTATTAGCACAAAGAATTATAACCATGGTTAGGGAAAAATAACAAATGTATTATAAGAGAGTTGGTTGAAATAGGTAAGATCCTGCTTAAATATTGTAAAGACAACATACAGAGGTAACAATTTGTAATCAGCTAGATTTCATTACCTAATTACATTAAATGTATTTTTTTTTTCCTAGAGCCACAAGGGTGAATAATAACTTTTTTTCATTCTCACAATTATAAGATTATATAATGAAATGTGCAAGAAGCCCTAAATTATTTCATGGTTATTTTACTAAATTTTGTATCTATAACTCAAAAAATTGAGAAAAAACCTGATCAATGGCAACCAATTCATAAAGATATTCTTCTTATCAGAATTCCGTGTTGGAGTCGATTGTTACTTACCATTTCAACAGCATCATGCAGAGTGCTGGATAAGCTATCATTAAGGTTTGTCAGGTACAGTCCTACATCTTCTAAAACTAGAAATTAAAATATAAAAATTTAGAAAAAAAAAAGAAACACAAATTTAGTAAATAATCTGACCATAAAGCCATAGCATATTAGATTCAAAATTATACTGCAATGGAAATATCGGCAAAGTTTATAAACAAGTAATTCACAAACTACTCAATCTTACCAGCTTTTTAAAAGTACAATTTATAACAAAGATGAGAATTTTGTTTAACCTACCAGTTTGTTAGAAATTAAAAACTATAAATATCAATTGTAGTTATGAAATTGAGAAACGGGTATTCTCATATACTGTTGATATAATTAAAACAGATTAAGAGCTAAAAATCCTTTCTAGAACTTAAAAGAAAAAAAAATCCTTTCTAGAGAGCATGTTGTTGATACATCTTTAAAGTAGACTCAGCAATTTCACTTTAAGGCATGTATTCTAAGGAAGAGACTAGATAAGTGTACCAAAAATATATATACATGAAAGGATGGTAATTAGAGAGTTGTGTATAGACTGAAAGCATTGAAAACAATCTAAATGCCCTCTATTAAGGGAGTAAATAGACTAAACAGCCATAAAAGAAAAATAAGAAAACTATGGAGTCATATTAAAAGATATCCACAATACATTATTAGGAAAAAAAAATTCAGGTTTCAGGCTGTGTGTGGTGGTTCAGGCCTGTAATTCCAGCCCTTTGGGAGGCCAAGGCGGGTGGATCACTTGAGCTCAGATGTCTGAGACCAACCTGGGCAAAATGGCGAAACCTCATCTCTACAAAAAAATATAAAAGTTAGCTGGGCATGGTGGCACATGCCTGTAGTCCCAGTTACTCAGAAGGCTGAGGTGGGAGTATTGCTTGCGCCCGGGAAGTTGAGGCTGCAGTGAACCATGATCACGCCACTGCACTCTAGCTTGGATGACAGAGTAAGAACCTATCTCAAAAAAAAAAAAAATTCAGGTTTCAAAACAATATGCATAATAAGATCCTATTTTTAAAGGTAAACATACATCCATAGACAAAAAAGACTGGAAAGGTCTACCCAAAACCATTAATAGTGATATTATCTCTGGAGGGTGGGATTATGAGGAAGATTTTACTTTCTGAAGTTAAGACCCAGAAAAGTTAACTAAATTGCATTGAGCCCCCCATTCTTTCTACTGTACCATGTTAACTCTTGAAAGTTAAGTAAAAATACTTTAAACAGGAAAGTATTACTTAGGGGATTACCATAATCTAACAAGTGAAATCAATTAATACAAATTAACTTACTCTTGGGGGCCAATTTTTGACCACAGCTAAATAAAATCTCTCCTTCAGAGATGGGTTTATCTAAAGTTTCAGTTTCAGTGACAGTAACACTCAATGTGCTCTCCAGTGTTGATGAATCAGAACCTGGCATCTGTGAGGGGGAAGGGGCCTTGGTGCCAGCAGGAAATGGCATAAAGGAAACTGGCTCTGGAGGTGGAGGCTGAGCAGGGAAATCCATACTCTCTGGTTCTTCATCCTTAGCCACAGACATTACACTAAGAAAATAAACACACATTTTGAGCTTGTTAGGTCACTGAAGGCCTGTATTCATTTTGATATTAAAAATAGACTTGAAGACTATGTCTCCTTTAGCGAAATATTTTCTTAAATCTGCACTACTATAATTAACAAGATTTAAAAAAATTGTTTTCATGCTTTAATCATAGGCCATCTTGAAAGCTCTTCCAGACATCAAATAAATCTACATAGAGATATATAAAAATATAAAAGTTAACTGATGATAGTAAATAATGACCCACAATAGTGAGAAATTGTTTTCTATTTTATTAACAATGTAATAGATACCTTTATTTCTATCTGTTTCAAACCTTTTAAGAAAAAAGGTGAAGGTATAATTTGATAATTTTTCAAAACTCAAAATTTATGAAAGTTCTTTCTTTCAAAGTATAAGGTAGTCTGTGGTTTATAAAGCTTTGTATAATATTTCTATGTTTTCAATGGATTACATAAGTCAAATGTAAGTTGAAATGTACAGTTACTAGTGAGTATGTTCTCATTTACATAGCTCTTGGATGAAGTTCTTCTTGAGGTGAGTTAGGGTTCTCTTCTTCCAGTGGCAGGTCTCCATCACCCCATGGCTTGGGAAGCTCTGGGCTTGATACCTTCAATTTATCAACGGAAATATCTGACAAAGTTGGGGTAAAAACTGCCACCGCTGGAGGAGGTGTAGTAGTAGGGGTAACCGTTGGAGTTTTAACAAGCATGATGGCAGGCATATCATCTCCTAAAGATTTTTAAAAAAAAAAAAAGAAAAAGATAGTAGTCAGTAAAGAACTCCATAGGATGGCACGATACATTGCTTCAGATATCCTTTACCATTTTAGCACACAAATAATGGCAATTATAATTAATAATAATAATGACAATGGTGGTAGCCATTAATGTGAAAATTCCTACATTTAATAAAGCATTAAAAAATACCTTGAGAAGATATCATTTTTAATACTTAAAGTAGTCTAAGCATCTATTCAATTGTATACTTTTTTTTTTTTTTGAGACAGAGCCTCACTCTATCGATAACCCAGGGTGGAGTGCAATGGTGCGATATCGGCTCACTGCAACCTCTGCCTCCCGGGATCAAGCAATTCTCCTGCCTCAGCCTCCTGAGTAGCTGGGATTACAGGCACATGCCACCACGCCTGGCTAATTTTTGTATTTTTAGTAGACAGGGGTTTCACCATGTTGGTCAGGCTGGTCTCAAACTCCTGACCTCGTGATCCACCTGCCTCAGCCTCCCAAACTGCTGGGATTACAGGTGTGAGCCACCATGCCTGGCCTCAATTACGGACTTAAAGAAGTTGCAATCAATTCCTAAATTTCCTTGCGAGAAAAAATGATTTAGTAAAACCTAGTAAGCAACAAGTACATATACAATAATCTCAAAAAGCATCTTATAAGACAATCATGAAACTGTATTTAATAGTTGCTAATATTAAAACTGAGTTATAGAAATAAAGTTTCTACCTTTTTCAGCATATATTTCTTTCACAGGAAAAGCCATATCATGATCTGAATCACAGGGAGAAGAATCTGGAGTCTTTACCAAAACACACTCCTTAGTAGGTGATGAAGGTGAGCAAGGAGGCGTAGGCTGTGGAGTAGCCAGTGGGGTACACACTCTTGCCTAAAATAAATTAATACAAGAAGATAAACTGTGTTTATAATCACCCAAATAAAAGTAATTTGAAATAATAACATGAACTCATTCATAGGCTACATATAATTTAAATTGATGGTGGGGTTAAGTACCCTACCTCTTGAACCTCTACCTGTTAGTTTACAACTGGCCTGCAGAAAGTCGCAGGCAATTGAAATAACTCTGCCTCTGAAGTGGTCTCCACAGAATTCTAAGGCACCCTCTTTTAAAATAGAGAAGAGGTAATTTACATTCCTACCAACAGTGTATAAACATTCCCTTTTCTCTGCAGCCTCACTAGCATCTGTTGGTTTGTATTTTGTTGTTATTAGTTTTTTAAAATTTTTAATTTTTAATTTTTGTGGGTACATAGCAAGTGTATATATTTATGGCGATCTGGTTTTTTTTCTGACTTTTTAATAATAGCCATTCTGACTGAAATGGTATCTCACTGTGGTTTTAATTTGCATTTTTCTGATGATTAGTGATGATGAGCATTTTTTCATATGTTTGTTGACGGCTTGTATGTTTTCTTTTGAGACCATACTGGGTATATACCCCAAGGATCATTATACCAAAAAGACACATGCACTCATAAGTTCATTGCCACACTATTCACAACAGCAAAGATGTGGAGTCAACCTAGGAGCCCATCAATGGGGGACTGAATAAAGAAAATGTGGTATACATACATCATGGAATACCACACAGCCATAAAAAAGAACAAAATCATGTTATTTGCAGCAACATGGATGGAGCTGGAGGCCATAATTCTGAACAAACTGAGGAAGAAAAAAAACAAATACCACATGTTTTCACTTATAAGTGAGAGCTAAACATTCAGCACACATAGACATAAACATGAGAACAGTAGACACTGTGGACTATGATGGCAGGGGGCAGGAGGGAAGAAGGGGGGAATGGGTTGAAAAACTACTTTTGGGTACTACGCTCACTATCTGGGTCCAATATATCCATATAACAGTCCTACACATGTACCCCCTATACCTAAAATAAAAGCTGAAATTTTAAAAATAAAGAACACAGAAAGATTAAACAGACAAAGCTGAAGATCAAACCCAATTACAAACATGAAGAAAAGGCATAAAACAGAAAGGAAGCATTTTAACTGATTGACAAGATACCAAACAAAAAATCAGCCTTTTGGAACACACAAAAACTGAGTATATAAAAAGTAATGGAAGGATAAGAAAAAGTGGGAGTTAGGGAGAAGCGAAGACAGCAGGGAGATGGAAAGTACTGGAGAAGGAAAAATGTAACAATTTAATATTAATTTGTTGAATAGGTAATCATTCAAATGGTTCAAACTTCAAAAGGTACAAAAGGATACTGAAAATTAAGTGTCTCTCCTGCTCTTGTCCTTTCTACCTAGAGCCCTTCCTCAGAGTTATCAAATAATCTTGACTTCAGTCATTTCATGTGTATGATATATGGATATATCTATGGACTAAGTTCCCAGAAGTGGGACTGCTCAGTTAAAGAACTAATTATGTTTTTAATTTGAATAGATATTGCCAGCTTTCCTGCTACAGGATTTTACTATTTTACACTACCACCAGAAGGTAGGAAAATGACAACTTCCCCCAGAATTATCAAACTTTTAGAGTTTTGCCTATTTGACAAGTAAAAATTACATTTCAATAACTTGTTTTCTTATTATCTATGAGGTTGATCATCTTCATCTTTTTATATGTACACGGGTGATTTGTATTTCTTCTATGTGTATGAACTGTCTGCTCTTGTCCTCTGACCATTTTAAAAATACATTATTTGGGACAGGCACGGTGGCTCACGCCTGTACTTCCAGCACTTTTGGAGGCTGAGACAGGTAGATCATGAGGTCAGGAGTTCGAGAACGCCTGGCTAACATGGTGAAACCTCGCTTCTACTAAAAATGCAAAAATTAGCTGGGTGTGGTGGCGGGCAACCGTAATCCCAGCTACTTAGGAGGCTGAGGCAGGAGAATCATTTGAACCTGGGAGGCAGAGGTTGCAGTAAGCCGAGACAGCACCACTGCACTCCAGCCTGGGCGACATGAGCGAAACTCCGTCTGCAACAAAAAAAAAAAAAATTTATAATATATATATATTATATAAAAAGGTTCTATATAGTAAATTGTAAATTTGACTTTTTCTTCATTCTAAAAAGTCTTTATATAAGGTGATTATGCTTTATTTATTCTGTATTATGGGTTGCAAATTAAGATGCAATTTAAAACCATGAAGCATATTAGAATTTCTATAGCATTGCTTAATAATTAGTGTACTCTTAGCCTTCATTTTAAAATGAAAGAAGTACACTATGTCTTTTTTTCTTCTTGACTGCATAAACATAGAGCATGGAAGTGTTGTTTTCAAATATAACACTATATTTAATATATATAACAGCATGATTAAAGAATCCGAAGGTATTCTTCTAGTATTGGTAATGGATAATAAAAATGATAAACTATTAGTAACTGAGTATTTATTTACCAAGTTCTAGGCACTAGATTAAGCTCTGTCCATATATCATCTCACTTAATCTTCCACAAAACTTTGGCTAAGAAAACAGTACCATAAAGATGTCAATCCTTCTTAAATGAAACCAGTCAAAATTGGTTTAATTCCCACTGAAATCTCAACAATATTTTTTATAGAACTTAAGAACTAACTTTAAAATATATGTAAGAGATTAAAAGGCCAAGAAAAGCCATGACAATTCTGAAGATAAGAGTGATAAGTCGCAGGCTGGGAGTAGTGCTTGCCCTACTAGATATTCAGTAAGCAGATTTTGGCAAAGCCATGGTCATTTAAACTAAGTATTCTATCTTTATTACAGAGATAAAACTAAAGTAGTGGAGCTTGGAATTCAAATTCCAAGTTTTACCAACCCCAAAGTCCAAGCTCTTTACCCTGGTTTTCCCACATTTTCTCATCCAATCACCCTCCTGAAAATATATGCAATACACAGGCAAAAAGCAAACCAAAGTAATTGGCATAGAAAAAACCATAACCCTGACCACATCTGTACTGCATATATTCCCAATGAGCTCATAAAGCACAGATCAAAACTACAGATCAAATCTTTGGCACACTAATCACATAATACCACAACAATCTCTACAAAAGTAAAATACAGTATATAACTTTATGTTTATACATAGAATGATGTTTAAATGTTTCACGTATGTAAAATGATGTCCTTGTGATCTATAGGATCAGAAGAAACTACAGTTTTAAATAGCTGGTAATACAGAGTAAATTTTGGCTTCGTATAATAGATTATAAATTCTTTTTAACACAAGTAAGGTTGATTAAACAAGCAATAAAAGTTCCTGAAATGTATTTTCTCTTAAAGATTAAAAATATCAGTTTATATAATAACGCAAAGCAATATATGATCCTTGGCTATATCTTGATTTAAAAAAACTATAAAGGATATTTTTGAAACAATTAGGGAAATCTAAATATAGTCTCTATATTCTATATTATTAACATGTCAGTGTTAAATTTGGGGGGTCTGATAATGTTTGGTTATGTAAGAAAGCAACTTGTTCTGTGGTGATACTGCTGATGCTTCTGAGGTAAAGTGTTATGATGTCTGTAACTTTCAAATGGTTTTTAAAGGATATATAATACATAGCAGATATAAAGAGATTTTTATAAGTGTGCCAAAATATTATCAATCAATAAATATGAATGACCCTTGAATAAGGAACTAAATAAAAACATAGGTTTGAACTGCGAGAGGCCAATCATACAAATTTGGTTTTTTCAACCAAATGTGGATCAAAAACAGTATTCATGAGATAAGAAATGCATATATATAGAGGGCTGATGTTTTATATTCTTCAGTTTTACAGGGCCAACTATGAGACTTGAGTATGCAAGGACTGGCCAATTTTCCATGTATACCAATAACTGTATAGGTAAAGGGTGTACAGATGTTCATTGTATCATATTTTCAACTATTGTATAGATTTAAAAGTTTTTAAAATAAAATGCTGGGGGAAATGTTACTTTAATCATAGCAACAAGGAATAAAATTCTACCACAAGTTGGGCATGGTGGCTGGTGCCTGTAATCCCAGCTACTGAGGAGGCTGAGGCAGGAGGATCACTTAAGCCCAGAAGTTCAAGACCAGCCAGGGCAATATATAAAGACCATGTCTCTAAAAATGATAATACTTCTACCACAAACCATGATCTTACAGTATGTGCTTAAAATTCATCTATTTTACTATTCTTCAACAAATGTATCCAAAATTCCCCATACCGGCAAATATGTTTCATTTGTTGAAGCATCCCCAGAAACACCTGTAGCAACAGGACCTTGCTTCTTTGCTTCTCTGTCACCCAGCATGACCTCAATGGTCTCAGCAAGGGCTTCGTTCACAAAATGGTTAATCATGTCTGAGTTCACAGGAACACCAGCATCAACAAAAAGCTGGAGGGCGCCACTGCTTGTTCCTTCCACTAAAAGTAAAAAAAAAATCAGAATGAGTGGACAAGAAACATGCTTGCAATTCAAACTTTCATTATTATTATTATTATTATTACTTTTCTTGAGATGGAGTCTCACTCTGTCACCCAAGATGGAGTGCAGTGACATGATCTTGGCTCACTGCAACTGCCACCTCCCAGGTTCAAGCGATTCTCCTGCCTCAGCCTCCTGAACAGCTGGGACTACAGGCATGTGCTACCATGCCTGGCTAATTTTTGTATTTTTAGTAGAGATGGGGGTTTCGCCATGTTGGCCAGGCTGGTCTTGAACTCCTGACATCAGGGGATCTACCTGCCTCGGCCTCCCAAAGTGCTGGGATTATAGACGACAGCCACCACGCCTGGACCAAACTTTCATTCTTAAAAGTTCAGAGATGCCAATATATGTGTATGGAGGTGAGTGGGGGAGGGTGGAAAGAGGAATAAAAATGAAAATACAAACATATCTACTTATTATGAAAAAGACTAAGTGGACAACTTACATAACAAATATTCTCTGTAAATAAAAAAAGGGAGATGAAAATTTACTTAGGTGGCCTCTTCTCCACTACTATAGAATTTAGTGATAAAAATGGGCACATTAAATGCCCTCATCTGAATACAACTCACATTTCCAAGAGTATAACAAGAGGAAACTCTGTGACAGATCTCGACTAAAACAAAAGAATGCACTAAATATGAAGGCAAATCTCCCTTCCTTCTAGTTTCAGATACATCAGTTATTAACATCTACTGCAGTTGAGGTGCTTGTTATCATATGTCCTATAGGTATATTAATTTCTGAATGGGTTGTACTTTTCACTTACATTAATGTACATCAAATTAAGTAAAACTTCCTGAATAGACTTTACTTGACTTAAAGTAGTGATATTTATAAAGCTCCATGTGGAAAATAAGTGGATACTAATCTGTCAACCTGATGGAGATGTGACCTCATCAAAGAGTACTCCTTAAGTAATACAACTATAGTAACAATATCCAGAATTCCCTAAAAAGTGGGTAGAAGTGTAGTGGGATCACTTGTTGATGGGGTAAGTAACAGCAATTTGCTCTTGAGTTACCATAGCAGAGACTATCACGATCCCAAATTTATATTCAACAATATATGTTGATACATCTCCTTTTTAGTTTCCATAATTCACTCTTTGAGCACGGCCAAAAATCAGAACATCTTGTTTATAAGGCCCAAAATCCCTACCCAGACACTGGCAAAACAAAAGCAAACACAAATCTTTTACAGGGAAGAAAACAGGATCTAAATACCCAATTTGTAAATTGTCTGATTTTCACCAGGAAAACAATTTTCTCATAAATTTGTTGTTCATTTTTGTCCTTCCCTCAAAGATGAGATGATAAAGAAAACCAGGATAGTAACAACAGAAGGCATGTGAGCTATGCTAAACAGGACAAATTAACCAAATGCAACAACAAACTCTATGAAGCTGGGATATAGGGTATGGCTGAGTGGGGAATGAAGAAGAGTAAAGCAAAGAAAATAGAGCAAATAATAACTCCAAGGCTTTAGAGATTATGCGTGCTGGGAGAATTGTGATATCAAAAATGAGAAGCATTTTAGACATACTAAGGATGAGATGCCAGGGGAGCATCAAGCAGAATATTCACCAACCAGCAGAACTGCAAGTTGTCGGCCCAAATACATGGCTTAGGGTTCATCAACTGACACAGGATAACTAATGTCAGGAGGAAACTGGAAAAAACAGAAAAGAGGGCAAACCATGGGAACTAGTGAAATAAATGTATTCAAGTAGCAGAAAATAAAATGAGAAAATGAAGGTCTTAAAGAAGTTTAAAAAAAAAAAAAAAAAAAACAAGAGGAAGAATAACAGAATGAAGTTTAAGAAGCCAACACCAAGAGAAGAGTTTAAGAATCAGAGATGGTCAATAGTGCCTATGCTTGAGCCATCCACTAAAACAAGGATTTGAAAAAGGATTTGAAGCATTTTTGACATGCAAATGCTGTGCAAAAGGAGTTTCCTGAAGGAGAGGGCAAAAGAAGGCCAACCCATAAGGACTAAAGAGGAAGTGGGTAATGAGAAATTAAAGTGGTGAATATAGACTCTGAAGTCTAGGATTCGGGCTGTTAAAGGATAGTCTACGAGGGAGAAAGAATAGCTTATCCTGAGGCTGGAAAGAAGAAAAAAAGTAGAGATAATGGTAAACAGGAATAATAAAAAAAAAAAAACAACAAAGTTAGAAAAACTTTCACTACCCGATTTCAAGTCTTACTATTAAATTACAGTAGTCAATAAGTATGGTATTAGTATAACTTGCAAGTGAATGGGATAGGATACAAAGCCCAAAAACAAGATACACACATACATAACCAACTGATGCTCAACCAAGGTGTTAAGGTAGTTCAATGGAGTAAGGATAATCTTTTCAACAAATGATACTAGAACAGCTGGATATCCATATGCCAAAAAACACCCAAACAAAAAAGAACTTGATCCTTACTTCACACCATAAAACTTAACTCAAAATAAACTAAAACCTAAATGTATAATCTAAAACCATACATCTTCTAGAAGAAAACATAGAAAACTATCTTAGTGATCCTGGGTTAGCAAAGTTTTTTTAAAAACAGCATGCAAAAATCCCTACAAACTACTAGAAAAAAACCTGATAAATTAGTCTTCTTCAAAATCAATCTTTTTGTCTTCAAAATATAATGCTGAGAAAACAAAAAGGCAAAACACAAAGTAGAAGAAAATATTTACAAAACATATCCAATGAAGGACTTGTATCCAGAATAGATAAAAAACCTCATACTCAGTAATATGAAGACACAACTCAAACTTAAAAATGGTCAAAAGATTTAAAAAGATTTCACCAAAGTAAATATACAGATGGCAAATAAACACATTAAAAAGTTGTACATCATTAGTAATTATACTACTCAGTTATTAGTACAGTTAGGGAAATACCTCCACATATGTTCAGAGATGGCGAGAATTATAAACACTGACAACACCAAGTCACCAAGTGTTGGGGAGGATGTGGAGCAACTAAAGTCGCATACACTGCTGGGTGGAATGCAAAATAGTATACTCACTTTTGGAAATGTTTAGCAGTTTCTTATAAAGTTAAACATTTACTTATCATATGACCAAGCAAAATTAAAAGATTTCTACACAAACATTTGCTTACAAATGTTCGTAGCAGCTTTATTCATAATAGCCAAAAACTGAAAAGACTATGAACGTCCATCAACTGGCAAACGGATTGACAAACTATGGTATATCTATACATTACAGTATTACTACATGCAATAGCATGATTGTCAAAATATTGTGCTAATAAAAGAAGCCAGCCAACAACGGGCTACATATTGCATGATTACATATGTATGAAATTCTAGAAAAGGTAAAAATACAGTAATAGAAAGCAGGTCAGTGTTGTTTGAGGCCAGTGGGCATGAGTGAGGTTTAGGAATTGACTGCAAAATAGCATAACGAAGCTTTTGGAGAAGACAGAAATGTTTTTCTATCTCATGATTATGTGGCTAATATATAGCTGTGTGAACTTGTCAAAACTTGTCAAAGTGGGCCAGGTGCAGTGACTCACTCTTGTAATCCCAGTGCTTTTGGAGGCTGAGGCAGGAGGACCACTTGAGGCCAGGAGTTTGAGATTAGCCTGGGCAATATAGCAAGACCTCATCTCTACAAAATGTGCTGATTGATTGATTGAGATAGAGTCTCACTTTATTGCCCAGGCTGGAGTGCGGTGACATGATCTTGGCTCACTGCAACCTCCACCTCCTGGGTTCAATCAATTCTCCTGTCTCAGCTTCCGGAGTAGCTGGAATTATAGGTGTGTGCCACCATACCCAGCTGATTTTTGTAGTTTTCATAGAGACAGGGTTTCACCATATTGGCCAGGCTGATCTTGAACTCCTCACCTCAGGTGATCTGCCCTCCTTGGCCTACCAAAGTGCTGGGATTACAGGCGTGAGCCACTGTGCCTGGCCCCAAAATTATTTTTAGCTGGGCATGGTGGTGCATACCTGTGGTCCTAATTACTTGGGAGGCTGAGGCAGGAGAGTTGCTTGAGCCCAGGAGTTAGAGGTTACAGTGGGTTATGATCATGTCACTGCAGTCCAGGCTCTAGCCTAGATGACAGAAGGAGACCCTGGCTCTAATTAAAACAAACAAACAAAAAACTTGCCAAACTGTACACTTAGAAGTGGTGACTTTTATGGCAAGTAAACTTACCTCAAGAAAACAAGAAGGAGGTGGAAAGGAAGAAAAATATGAGGAAGAGGGAGAAGGAAAAAATGGGGAAGAGAAGGGGGAGAAGAAAAGGAAAAGGGGGAAGGAGAAAAAGAAGAAGAAGAAAAGAAAAAAAAAGGAGAAGAGAAAGGGGGAGAAGAAGAGGGAAGGAAGGAAGGAAAAAAAAGAATGGCATAGGCTCCATAAAGAAAGGCTCATTTTAACCATTCAGTGAATAATTAAACTCTTGTTGGGTTTCAGGCAAGGACTAGGCACAAAAGGAGAAACATCCTTAAATCCTAAGTAATTTATAATCTAAAGGGTGAGACAGATATGGAAACCAACTTTAATATAATCTGATAATTACTATAACAAAAATATGTACAAAGTACTATGGGGATAACAGAGATTTGGGGTGGGAGGTATGAAGAGTGGTTTAATAATCTGAAAGCTGCAATATGAAATAAGAGGATGAGAGAGAACTAACCATCACCAAAGAAGTACTAGGAAGTAAGGTTAGAAGAACTTACCTTTTGTTACTGGAGAATTTACTTGACCTCTGGAATATATAAATCCACAATGAACTAAAGCTTTTGTCTTTTAATAAAAACAAAAAAGATTCCATTTCACTTACCAAGGTCAGAAGTCAGTGGGTCACTTGTCTCACTGACTGAAACACTGATATTAGGTGCAATCTGTTGCTGGATTGGAAAGAGCCCAGAGATAATTCTTGACATTATTTCTTGCTCTACCCTGAGGGGATGGTGGGGTAGATAAAAGTTAAGATTCCTCAATTTGATTGAAATGTAAAAAATGTCAGACATACCACCCTTAAAAATAACCTTTATCAATGTCACAAACGTGTTGGTGTGAAAGCAGTCATTCTGAAAGTTAAATCTAGAAGAAAAAAAATAAGATGGGCTGGGCATCATGGCGCACACCTGTAATCTCAGCACTTTGGGAGGCCACGTTGGGCAGATTGCTTGAGCTCAGGAGTTCAAGATCATCCTGGGAAACAGGGCAAAACACTGTCTCTACAAAAAATACAAAAATTAGCTGGGCATGGTGGTACGTGCCTGTAGTCCCAGCTGCTCAGAAGGCTGAGGTGGGAGGATGGCTTGAGCCCAGGAGGTCGAGGCTGCAGTGAGCCATGATCACACTATGCACTACAGCCTAGGCAATAGAGTGAGACTCTGTCTCAAAAAAAAAAAAAAAAAGTGCCTCTGAAGAAGATAAACCACAGTAAACAGAATCTCCTTGTGGGAGAGAGTTTATGAAATCAAATTAAAATCTTCCAGATTAGTCTAATGAAAAGCTTAAAAGAACTCCTAAACTCAAAATAAGACTTGGACCAATGACTGTCTGGCATATTATGTACCTAAACTGTTTGATTTCCACTCTGAGTGCATATATAAAAACCATATAAGATCAGAGCTAGAAAAGAAGTCTAGCTGCCCTCTCTTCAAGGCAATACACATATAGGCTATATTATAGGTAGTTTTCCTCTTAAAATGTAAAGAAAAAATCCATTTCCAAGGTCATCTTCAGGAAGGAAAAGGGGAACAGGAGGCTTCTAGAACATTTCTTTACTGCAACTAATAGACTTCTTAAAAATTATTATATAAATAATATAATAGGCGTTCATTGTAGAAAATTTAGAAAATATCTAAGAGTTTAAAAAATTGATAAAGCTTGCCTATAATCCTAGGTTCAGGGACAAACACAGTCAATTTGGTATACATGCTTTATCAAACTTTTGTTTTATGCACACTTTTTTGTTTTGTTTTGCTTTGTTTTGAGACAGAGTCTCACTCTTTCACCCAGTCTGGAGTACAGTGGCGCAGTCTCAGCTCACTGCAACCTCCACCTCCCAGTCTGGAGGTTCTCCTGTCTCAGTCTCCCGAGTAGCTGAGACCACAGGTGTGCGCCATCGCACCTGTCTAATTTTTGTATTTTTTTTTTCAGTAGTGACGGGGTTTCACCATGTTTGTCAGGCTGGTCTCGAACTCCTGATCTCAGGTGACCCACTCGCCTTGGCCTCTGGAAGTGCTGGGATTACAGGCGTGAGCCACTGCACCGGCTGTATACTTACTTTTGAGTAAAGTCTTGTAAACTGGGGTTACATTGTTAGTATCCTGCTTCGTTTATATGCCAGTACATTATTAACGTCTTTTTATATCACTAAATTTATTCTAAACCTAATTTTCATAATTATATTAATATTCAGCCGTTTTACTTATTCCATAACTTCCTTAAGGTTTCTTACAAGTAAAAATACAAATAATAGAGTTCATTTCATATTCATATGTAACAAGTTACATTTGTTATTGTAATATGTAACAAGAGTAACATATTACAACTTGTTGTTATCAGAATGTAACAAACCTGAACAGTGCCTTTTTTGTAGTGCTAGGTATTATATGGCCTAGTATAGCAGTCCCAACCTTTTTGGCATCAGGGATTGGTTTTGTGGAAGACAATTTTTCCACAGACCAGGGCAGGGGTGGTGGGGTGGTGGGGGGGCATGGATTTGGGATGAAACTGTTTCAGCTCAGATCATCAGGCATTAGATTCTCATAGGGAACATGCAACCTAGATCCCTCGCATGCACAGTTCACAATAGGGTTTGTGCTTCTATGAAATCTAATGCCATGGCTGATCTGACAGGAGGTGGAGCTCAGGTAGTAATGCTCACTCACCCGCTGCTCACCTCCTGCTGTGCAGCTTAGTTCCCTAGTTCCTGGTACTGGTTCGTGGCCCTGGGGTTGGGGATCCCTGGCCTAGTAGCAAACCATAATTACTTCCTTAGGATAAGTTTCTGGAAATGAATCACTGGATTAAAGAAATGTACATTTTTTAAGGTTTCCTAATAGTCTACTTTGCCAGAGTAGACAGACCGAGTACAAATATTCAAGGACAAAAACAATATCTCCAACAATAGTTAAGCCCTCAGCATTGTATCAAACACTTTCCAGTGACTAAAGCAAAGAAAGTTTAATAAACAAAAGAAGACAAGGAATACTTTCAATCACAATTTAATACTTTCCATTTATATTTGCTACTATGTTTCTATTCACACCAAAAACATTGTAAACTTACCATTGAATTAAGCTATTTTCCAATGTTTCTTTTCTCTCAATTACTTTATCCAGAATATTGGCAGTGGGCTGAAAAGTAGAAGCAACTGGCGGAAATGGAGGACCATTATATTTTGTAGAATCAGCTTTAACACTTCTGTTAAACTCCAGAATTGGTTCAGAGTCTGGAATTTCATCACATTTTTCCTCTTCCTGGTAGTAACAAAACCAAAACTATTATATTCATGTATTTGTTCAACACTTACTGAGTACCAACTATAGGCAAGGAACTAGGTGAATTAAGAAACACTTCTAAGTTAATCAACAGCATTTCTAATTAGGTGGTATCACATTAATTATAATATACACATTAGTCATACATATCATATTGAGGAACCCTTAATTACACAATCAGTTTGTCTTTTTATAACCCAATATTCATTTTACACAATCATAAAATAAACTAGAAAATACAATTATTCCTGCATAAAACACTATTACTTCTCTCAAGAAATGTATGAACTTAATAATTATCATCAAAAAACTGATGCTTCCTGATATGGTTTGGATATTTGTCCCCTCCAAATCTCATGTTGAAGTGTGATCCCCAGTGTTGGAGATGGGGCCTGGTGGGTGGTGCTTGGGTCATGGGGGCCGATCTCTCATGAATTGCTTGGTGCCCTCCCCATGGTAATAAGTTAGTTTGTGAGAGAGCTGGTTGTTTAAAGGAGACTGGCACATCCTCCCCTCTCTTTTGCTCCCTCTCTTGCTTTGTGACACATCTGGACCCTCACAGCCTTCTACCTGAGTAAAAGCTTCCTGAGGTCCTGACCAGAAGTAGTTGTGGGCACCATGCTTCTTTTACAGCCTGCAGAGCCATGAGCCAATTAAATCTCTTCACTTTTTTTTTTTTTTTTAAGACATAGTTTCACTCTTGTCACCCAGGCTGGAGTCCAATGGTACCATCTCAGCTCACTGCAACCTCTACCTCCTGGGCTCAAGCAATTCTCCTGTCTTGGCCTCCCGAGATCTGGGATGACAGGCGCCCACCACTATGCCCGGCTAATTTTTGTATTTTTTGGTAGAGACAGGGTTTCACCATGTTGGCCAGGCTGGTCCTGAACTCTTGACCTCAGGTAATTCACCTGCCTCGACCTTCCAAAGTGCTGGGATTACAGGCATGAGCCACTGTGCCTGGCCTTAAATCTCTTTTCTTTATAAATTACCCAGTAATTCCTTTACAACAATGCAAAATGGACTAACACACTACCAAAATCACTATTTGCTCTTATATAACTTACAATTTACATTTAAATATGCAATTAGGTCAGTCATCTTACAAATTATTTGCATTACCACATCATAATCAATAGAGTTATTTCTGGAATTGTTAAATTTTTTATCACAAAATATATCATATGTGTTTAAAAGTAAACAGGGTCCATGTACTATATCTGTTACATAAATAACATGAATTGCATTTATCTGCTCCCCAACTTTAACAATTATCAACTTATGGTCAATCTTGTCTCATCTAGCCACTTTTCGCCTTCACATATCATTTTGAAGCAAATCACAGATATCACATCATTTTATCTATAAATAATTCAATCAAAAACACTTTGGGTCTCTCTAAATACTACAACTCAGTAATATTATTCCATTGAAAAATGAAGTCCACAGCTAATAAATGGCAGAGCTACTACAGGAACACTTGTCTTTGAATGCTAAATCCTCTGCTACTTCTATAACCATTTCTTTCACTTGTATATTGCATAAACAATTACCAAGTAACTTTGCTAGGCATTAGGAATATAAAAATGAATAAGGTCCCTGCCTTCAAAATTCTCATGTGGCACTCACATAAGAAAAGATACATCGGTGAGCAAATAACATTAATATACTGCACATCTCTGCATATTTTAAAATTGGATTTCATTTTATGATTAACAGAACTGATCTTAGCTCTAAAAGTCAAAGAAACATGATCAAATGTCTTCTTTAAAGTCTACTGACATAATAGTCAAGTAGTTTCAATGTTCTATGATCTTTTCTCCCATCCTTTATAATTTACTTCTGCCTATTTTTCCCTCTATTTCATTATTTCTATCATTTCTATAACTCTTCCTTCCATATGGGATATTCCTTTGGATTGTAGATTCCTCACAACTTTTTTTCTCAATATTAACTGGTCACTTCACCACAAATCCAAAAATCAAAATAGATAAATGTAATAGAATGAGAAAAAAGACAAATTGGAGGAAAAGAAGCCAAAGGAAGTGGAAAGAAAAAGAAAGCAGGAAACTAGATAGACAAAATCTAGGTGGGAAATGGCAGACAATCATGAAGCTTCATGAAGGCAAATAGGTGATACAGACGAAAGACATTCTAGAATAACAACTTTATAATTTTTAAAATAAAAGTATATTTAACTCAAAAGTAAAAGAAAGTATCTCAAAGCACTGTAACATGATATTGATAGTTCAAAGATAAGTCAACAACCTGGAAACATACTGGTAGAAAAATAATTTCTCATGGTTTCTAAGGTTTGTTACCTGTATGACATCGATTATTTCATCAAAGTTAGTTCCTGGAAACTTCACCTCTTCTTCATCTACCTTCATAATTTCTGGAGTCTAAGAAAGCATTTTCAGAAAGTGTTTGTTGTGCTTAACACTTTTAAAATTTATAAGTAATTTATCATATTTCCACCTATAGTATAAGCTTATAATTACATGGTCCTTTTTTATCATTTTAATACCCTATTCAGAATTGATTTAATTAGTAAATGAAATCCAAGCTAGTCCCCAAGCCATTAGGTCAACATTTCAATAGCTTTAAAAAATTAATCAGCTATTTTTCTGTAAAGGACTCCATCAGCAATATCACTTAATTGGTCAACAGGTTGATATAATTGAGACTTCTCTTCCAGAATTAAGATAAAGAAAAGTGTTTACATGTGTAGATATCTAAGTATAAACAAACACAAACTCACACAAAGACAGATACAGAATCAAATAATTCAGGAAAAAAAATCAAAATAGTCATTTTACAAATCTAACCTTTAGGCCTCATTATATAAAATGTAGTCATGCAATAGCCTTTTACTGAGAGCAGAATGATAAACAGTCTAAAAATTTATTACTTGTTATCACAGAAGTTTCAATAAACAGAAGGCTAAAAAAATTACTGATGAAAAAATTCAATTAAGCACAAATGTCACTCAGGGTCAGTTCCATTTCATTACTTGTGATCATGAAAGATTGCTGGTGTTCTCTCTCCTTTTAAAACTGTATCCTCGGCCAAATTTGCTTACAATAAACAAATAAAATAGATAAACTTAACTGGGGTAAGTTACAGTGCTATTTTGCTGTGTAGTAAAGCCATAACTTCATTATTCAAAAGCAAATAAATACCAAAAAGAAATGCATATTTTTGTATCATGTCAACAGTAGGGTAACAAGGTAACATTCCAAAATATAAACTCCACCAGTCACTATAAAATTCACACTTAGAAAATCTATAATTCCCATGTAAATCAAAGATTCATCACCAAAGAGACAGAAATTCTTTCTTCACATGAGAGTTTCACAACTTAAATTACCAAAAAGTTTACACTAAAGATTATCACTTTCCAAATAGTTACAAATATAAGGATCTGAAACAAACAAGTTCATAAACAACTCAAAATTTGTTCTGGGCTGGTGTGGTGGCTCACGCCTGTAATCCCAGAAATTGGGAGGCCGAGGCAGAGGGATCACTTGAAGTCAGGAGTTCAAGACCAGCCTGGCCAACATGGTCAAACCCTGTCTCTACTGAAAATACAAAAATGAGCTGGGCGTGGTGGCAGGCACCTGTAATACCAGCTCTGAGGCAGAAGAATTGGTTGAACCCAGGAGGTGGAGGTTGCAGTGAGCCGAGATCTCACCACTGCACTCTAGACTGGGCGACAGAGCAAGACTCTGTCAAAAAAAAAAAAAAAAAAAAAATTGTTTTGAATCTTTCCCTCAAAATATAAATTATTATAATAAGTTATCATTATGATAAAAGGCTTTAAACGGAGTAACATTAGCTAAAATCTACAGTCAGACATTACATTACTCAAAATAATATGATAAAATTCTAAAACATACCTTTATCCAAGCTTGCACAGGAGGAAGAGATGCTTCTTTGGGACTACACAGAGGTGAACCGACATCAGTGCTACCATTTGAAATGCTGTCAATATCTACACTGGGTAATACCTACAACAAAATACAACATTCAGTTTTCTGTTTATCATTTTTACTCAAATACTTTTATAAGTATGTATATATACATGTACATGTATGTGTGTGTATATATATACATATACATAAAAACAAAGCATGCCCTTTACGTTTTTATTGTGAAGCCAATGGATAACAAAATTTTTAAATTATGAAAGCATATTTTATAAAATATGAAAAAAAGAAAAACACAAAATTCTATCTGAAGATAACTTCATTTTCACTATTCCCTTTGTCTTTTACTATCTACTTATATGTAACTAAAATTTAAAATAGTTTTCATTCTTGATTTTTCATTGTGATTACAACGAAGAACCATAAACACTTATCATGCTTTTGTATAGACTTCATAATTATATTTTTAAACGACTATATAACATTTCAACAAACATGTCTTAATTATTTAATTATGTTTCAATTAGAAAAATTTAGGAAATTTCCAATTTTTTCACTATTATATATATATCACTACAAAAAAAACTTACACACACACAATCTTCTTCCTAAACTCTAAACTCTAAATTAATTCACTATGCTAGATAGCCAGATATTGGATTAACTTTCTGGGCCACAGGACACGAATACTTAAGATTCTTGGAAGTACTGGTGAAATGTAATCCTAACAACCTCTATTTACATCATCAAAAACATAATTAATTCTAAGTTTTACCCAACCCTCACCAAAATTAGATAATATGATTGTTTCAGCAATAACAGTTTTTAAATGGATGCATATTACTGTTATTTTAATTTGCATTATCTTGGTTACTGGCAAAATTTATTTAGTTTGCTTGCTGATAAACTGTACTTCCTCTTTTGTAGAGTCTTATTCATGTCCTTTGAACATTTCTAGACTTGGATCTGTGTTTTCTTATTAATTTATGGAGATCTTTATATTTAAAAATTAATGTTTTACTAGCATCTTCCTCTCTTTTTTTTTTTTTAGATGGAGTCTCGCTCTGTCGCCCAGGCTGGAGTGCAGTGGCCAGATCTCAGCTCACTGCAAGCTCCGCCTCTCCGGTATACGCCATTCTCCTGCCTCAGCCTCCTGAGTAGCTGGGACTACAGATGCCCGCCACCTCGCCCGGCTAGTTTTTTGTATTTTCTAGTAGAGATAGGGTTTCACCGTGTTAGCCAGGGTGGTCTCGATCTCCTGACCTCGTGATCCGCCCGTCTCAGCCTCCCAAAGTGCTGGGATTACAGGCTTGAGCCACCGCGCCCGGCCGCATCTTCCTTTCATATGTTCTTACTGTGTATTGTTTGCCTTTTAATTTAGGATTTTTTCCCCCGATCTAGATCCTCTAATTTCCTCCATGAACTGACTGTGCTAGTGATGCTCATTCATTCAATGCACATTGACTGAGTTTGCACTTGGCTCAGGTTGCTGTCCAGGTTAAAGTGTCCCCAGGTCTCCCAAAGCCTCCACAGCTGCTGCATGGCTGGGTTAGTGAGCCTACACTGTCAGAAGGATGCCCAAAGACTGCTGTAAGTGAGGAACACATTTGGGTTCATGCTGGGAGTTCCTTGCCCTGCAAAAATGGCTGGGAGTTGAAAGGTTCTGCTCCAGGCCAGGGCTTTATTGTGTGTTTGCTCCTCTCAAGCACAGGGCCCGGAATCTTCCTGAGACCCACTGGCTGCCTCAGCCCTAACAACTTGGCTGTGAAAACACACTGTCAATTTTAGCTGCAGGGCAGAAGTCACTCTATGAGAATGAAGTGTTTGTGGAGCTACATGGGCGATTTCTAAGTCCCTGGGAATCTCTCAAGCTGGTGGGTTGAGGCTGTTCTGTATAAATTTGTGCAGAAGAAATGGATGGTTCATTTGTTCAGGGAGGAGTGTCCAGTCAAAAAAGTACTAAGAGGCTGTTGACTGTTCATGTGGTGGCATCTGACCGCTCCAGGATTATCTTCTCCTCAGCGGTCAGGATCTAAGAATGAGGCAAGTCTTCTCTCTTCCCAGAGGGCATACTAAGTTGCCCAGGAAAACTCATTTGTCCTGGCTCAATCACAAGAGGAACCCAGGAGCAGTCTAAGGACTGGAGTGTTCTAATTATTTGTAAGTAAGCAAGGATGGTAAGATGAACACAGGGGTTGGAGTAAATCAGCCAAAAAGTTTACCATAGTTCATGAACACTTTCCTACAGTTGCCTCCTGACTGGTCAATAGAAAGTCACATGTAAACACTCCTGTTCATTTTTGTCCAGACCTGGTGAAGACCTCAGCTTCTACAGCTGGATCCCAGGCTGAAGGGCAGATGTTTGAATGTGAAATGTCAAAGGGTTTCTTCCCACATGAGGCTGTTTAAGTCTTGCATTCATTCAAATCTTCTAACATATGCTAGTGTAAAGTTTGAAGTATTAATTACATGTCACATATATTAACTTTTTAAAATTAATTATAATACACGGTTAAATTGTTCCCTTTGGAATATCATCAAGCCACTTGTATATAAGTCATTGGCCTAGAAGAGCAGCTTAAATCATGCAAAACAGGATAGAAACATCACATTAATATTACAGTTTAAAAAATAACAGAGCTGGCTGGACACAGTGGCTCATGTCTGTAATCCCAGCACTTTGGGAGGCCAAGGCAGGTGAGTCACCTGAGGTCAGGAGTTTGAGACAAGCCTGGCTAACCTGTGAAACCACATCTCTACAGAAAAAAAATACAAAAAAATTAGCTGGACGTGGTGGCAGGCGCCTGTAATCCCAGCTACTCGGGAGGCTGAGGCAGGAGAATCACTTGAACCCAGGAGGCAGAGGTTGCAGTGAGCCGAGACTGCACCATTGCCCTCCAGCCTGGGTGACAAGAGCGAAACTCTGTCTAAAAAATAAAAATAAATTTTAAAATAAAAGGAGCCATGATAAAAAGCAGTATTTTCATGAAGCAATATAATGGATTTCTGTACTAACATTAAGCAAAAAAAATTTTTCTTCCTTAAAATTTTCTACTCATGCACCCTGGCATACCTGTACAGTAAGCTGAGGAGGATCCTTTTTTTCTGACTTCATTTCTACAACAGCTATGTTAGGTTTCTTTACTCCAGTTTCTACTTTTCGAGATGATGGAGGAATAGAAGTAGTCACAGTTACAGGGTGTGGCTTGCTGATAATCACTCCAGCAGGTGGCATGGTATCACTATTACTTTGGGTTTGTCCTAAGACATTTAGGGGAAAAAATAAGTCAAGTAGTTCAGAAAAAAAGGGAAAAGTCTAATACACCAGCTGGATCTTAATGGCTATATTCTCATATTTTAAAAAGCCCTATCTGACAATCACCTCTCCCTCCATCATCAGCATTGTCGACATACTCACCATACCCAGTGACTTTTATTAGGCACTTATAGGTACTAAACACTTCACATCACTATCTCATTTAATCCTCAAAATAAAGGCTAATAGAAAGCTATTAATATTATCCACATTTTAAAATGTCAACAACTTTCACTTCCAAAGTCCCATTTGTTTTCTACATATCAAAGTAAAGAGGGGCAGTACAGTGTACTTGTTGAAAACACAGACTATAAAGCCAGACTGTCTCTGCCTGGGTTTGAATCCTGGCACCACTCTAGCTGTGTGGCCTTTGACAAAGTATGTAACCCTTTTGTGCTTCAGTTTCCTTAGGTATACAATTTGTATATTACCATGTGCTTTATAGGGTGGATTAAATAAAAGAATATATGTAAAATGCCCAGAACTGTACCTGGCACACAGTAAGGACTTTAAAAGTGTTAGCATTTTATTACTAGAATATATGTTTAAAAAGAGAACTATTATGTTGACATGCCATTAACCCATAATATCAAACATAAAAAATTCTCTTATGTTAAAAAATACTCATACTTATTGTTAATCAAAACAAAAGAACAGCAATAACACTAAAGGGCAAAAAGGGCTAATTAGACTTGAAGAGTTGGTGTGAGGACAAAAATGATCTGTTCAATTTTTAACATGATGACTCAGAGAGAAGGCAAGTAAGTAAACAAACAACTATTGGCTTAGATTACACACCCACACAGCTTTCACTTATGATAGCCTAGTTCAAAAGTACCAAAAAAAGTACCTTAATACTTCCCCAAAGACATAATGATATTAGCAAGACAATCAAACCTATTGAATTATTATGAATGTCCATGACATATTTAACTTTTTTTTTTTAAGAGACAGGGTCTTGCTCTGTTGTCCAGGCTGGAGTACAGTGGCATAATTATCACTCACTGCAGCCTCAAACTCCTGGGCTGAAGGGATTCTCCTGCTTCAGCCTCCAGAGTAGCTAGGACTACAGGTGTGAGCCACCAAGCCCAGCTATTTTTTTTTTTTTTTGAGACAAGGTCTTGCTATGTTGCCCAGGCTGGTCTCAAACTCCTGGTCTCAAGCAGTCCTTCCATCTCGGCTTCCCAAAGTACTGTGATTAAAGGCATGAGCCACTGTGCCCAGCCAAAACATTGTTTAAAATTTCATTTCATCTACAATAATATACTATAACACACCAAAAGAATTTTTCCTGTTGGTGAAACTATAGCAGGAACCCATCATTTCAGAGATTGCTATTACACAGCATAAAACATATTCTGAGGCCCTCCCCCAAAAAACAAATAACATTTACAGGAAAAGGTAGATGACTATCATGTTAGTACCATTTTGTAAGTTCTGCTACTGCTGATAAGAATTTAAAATTCACTGGCTGGGCATGGTGGCTCGTGCCTGTAATCCCAGCACTTTGAGAGGTTGAGGTGGGCGGATTGCTTGAGTCCAGGACTTCCAGACCAGCCTGAGCCACATAGCGAAACCCCGTCTCTAATAAATAAACAAACAAACAAACAAACAAATAAATAAATAAAATAAAATTCATCCCACATATTTTGTTGATTCTTACCTAAAAGAATTGCCATGGGAATCAGATGACCTTCCAGTGTACCTGAAAAAGTAGGCATTTCTCTACTTGGGCTAAACAAATACTGCTGATCGCCATGAGGTAACATAGGAACGGAATGTTTCATTTTAGAATCTTTCTTCACAGGTTTTGTTGCATAGGAGTCAGTCTGTGTTCTTATTGACTTTACCTTAGTGCCTAAAATAATCACCAATGGCAGATATTTTAAAATATTGTTAGAATATCTACTATCCAGACATCTAGAAATACAACAGCTCTTCACAGAAAAATCTTAATTCTATATATAAGGTTACAAGGCCCCGAAACAGAAGTAATATATAGACTAGAGGTAGCAAACTTCTTAAATGGCCAGATAGTAAATATCTGTCTGGCAAGCCACGTGATCTCAGCTGTAATGACTCAGTTCTGCTGTTGTATCATGAAAGAAGCCATGGACAATATATACATGAATGAACACAGCTAGACGCAAATGAAACTTTATAAAAACAGGCAGCTCATGTGTAGGCCACAGTTGCCAGCCCCTGAATAGATATACAACTTGTACAGCTACTATGACAAAATAGATACAATAACTAGAAAAAAATTTTAAAGATTCTGAAGAATATTCCAACGACGTTTGAATTCTTTAAATTTTTTTCCATAGGTACGGAAGAGTTAACGATCATTTTTGGAATTGATGATTTTCATTTTCTCATTACACCTTTACACACAACATAATTCTGAATAACCAGCTTTTATCCTTTTAAAATATGTACAGATAATCAGTTTCTATACTTACTTAAACCTTACTAATATCATTATACAGTAGTTTCTCCTTATCTGTGGTTTCTCTTTCCCTGTCTCAGTTACCCAGGGTCAACCTTGGCTGGAAAATATTAAATGGAAAATTCGAGAAATAAACAATTCATAAGTTTTTAAAAATTATTTATTTATTTTTTTAGATGGAGTCTCACTCCACCAAGGCTGGAGTGCAGTGGTGCGATCTCAGCTCAATGCAACCTCTGCCTCCCAGGCTCAAGTGATCTTGCCACCCTAGCCTCCCGAGTAGCTGAGACCACAGATGCATGCCACCACGCCTGGCTAAGTCATAAGTTTTACAGTGTACGCTGTTCTGAGTAGCATGATAAAATCTCATGCCATCCTGCTCCATCCTGCCCAGGACATGAATCATCCCTTTGTCCAGGGTCTCTACACTGTAGACACTACCTGCCCATTAATAACTTAGTTGCCATCTCAGTTGTCAGATTAAAAGAACATAGTACATGTTAGAGCTTGGTATTATCCACAGTTTTAGGCATCCATTGAGGGTATTGGAACATATCCCCCATGAATAAGGGGGACTACTGTACATTTTTTTTCTGTCCTATGATGTATACATACACATATAGTCATTATATCCTAAATCTTAAAAAAAATAAAAATTTGATTTTATTTCTCTTTGGAGAAGTGGATAAGTGTCTATGGAACACACACACACACACACACACATATATAAAATAAAGAATAAAGTAAAAGGGCAAAGGAAAAGAGGCTAAAATATTTTCTAAGTAATTTCCTAACATTACATTTTTACTTTTAACATGCGGGTGCTTTTTAAAAAAAAAAAAATGCAGGAACTGCCAAAGTTTTAGTGTTTAATAATTAATAGCACAACTGACCAAGGTCCAAGATGTGAAGATACCATGTTCAAGAAAGTGGTGGGTAAACTGCTCTATAAACTAACTATATAGTATGTGATAAGAATGTATGCTTTATAATATAAAACCTGTCTACACACAGTAGTTAGCTGAAAAAAGTCATTCAATCTTCTCTTGGATCAGAAAAATGATATTCCAGATTCCATTATAAATTATTAGCAACTCTCAACTCTTGTGTGTGGCAGGTATCTTGTTTTCACCTTCCAGTTCTTCCACCCCAGCCTGTGTCATGGGGTCTGTGATGTTCTTCTCCAGATCATCAATGTGACTACTCATACCATCAATTCTCCCAATGATCTGGTCAGACATAGTCTGAAATTTATCTTGCGTCTGCTGCAGCGGTGTCTACACCACCGAGGTGAGGTCCTGCAAGGTCTTGGGGTCAGTCTTCGCCATCTCCCCAGTGCCCAGGTTGGTGGTGATGTCTCAGACCGTCATCTATGCTTCCACTTCACATGTGGGTGTTTTTATGTATCTAATTTTTTTTTAGAGACAGGGTCTTGCTCAGCTGCCCAGGCTGGAGTGCAGTGACACTATCATAGCTCACTGCAAACTTGAACTCCTAAGCTCAAGAGCTGAAGCAATCCTCCCACCTCAGGCTCCCAAGTAGCTGGGACTACAGGCATGCCCGGCTAATTTTTTTAATTTATTGTAGAGACAGGATCTAGCTATGTTGCTGAGGCTGGTCTTGAATACCGGGTCTCAAGCAATCTTCCTGCCTCAGCCTCCCAAAGTGCTGGGAATACAGGCATGAGTCACTGTGCCCAACCTACACACCCAGACTTTTAAATATTGTTTCCTTTTGTTTATGATCCCAGGAAGAAAAATTGTCATACCATGTCTATATTCTTTCATCTTATTCTCTGATACTCATTCATTCTATTGAATGAATATTTTTCTTGAGTATTTAAAATGTCTGTTCAGCATCTAATATGTGGTAAACATTGTTTCAGGCACAAGGAATACAGAGGTGACTAAACCAACTGTACTCATAGAGCTTATAGTCTAGTAGTGACAAATAAATAATATAAATAATAAATCAAACAAACAAAAATATAACACAGGAAGTGTGAAGTGCTATGAAGAATAATATGGCAGGGTGAGGAGATAAAGAGGAACAGAAGATAATTCTTAGAATAGAATGGTCAGGATAGAGCTCTCCAAGGAGCTATCATCTAAGAGCAGAGACGGAAGAATTGAGACGGAGAACCATGCAAGTGCCTGAACGAAGAGCTCTCCAGACGGAGGAAAAAAGAGGGACTGAGGCCTTAGGATGAGCATAAGTCCCTAGGTTCTGATATGGCTTGGCTCTGTGTCCCTACCCAAATCTCATCTCAAATTGATCCCCATGTGTCACGGGAGAGACCTGGTGGGAGACGACTAGATCATGGGGGCAGTTTCCCCTAATTTGTTATTGTGATAGAGAGTGAGTTATCATGAGATCTGATAGTTTAAAAGAGCATGGCTTCCTTTGCTCCCTCTCCCCTGCTGCCATGTAAGATGTGCCTTGCTTCCCTTTGCCATTACTGTAAGTTTCCTGAGGCCTCCCCAGAGATGTGGAACTGTGAGTCAATTCCACCTTCTTGTCTTTATAAATTACCCAGTCTCAGGTAGTTCTTTATAGCTGTATGAAAATGAACTAAATACAGGCACTCTATCACTTCTGATCATTAAAAGGGTTACTGAATAAAGTTATTTTTGGATTTGAAAGCATTTTAAAATCTCAAATCATTTTTTGCAAAGACTTTCAAAACCCCACATATAAATTAATAGCAAAGCTACACTAGGCCGGGCACGGTGGCTCATGCCTGTAATCCCAGCACTCTGGGAGGCTGAGGCAGGTGGATCACCTGAGGTCAGGAGTTCAAGACCAGCCTGGCCAACATGGCGAAATCCTGTCTCTAATAAAGATACAAAAAAAAAATTGCTGGGTGTCATGGCGCATGCCTGTAACCCCAGCTACTCGGGAGGCTGAGGCAAGAGAATTATCTGAACCTGGGAGGTGGAGGTTGCAGTGAGCCAAGATCGTGCCACTGCATTCCAGCCTGGATGACAGAGCAAGACTCCATCAAAAAAAAAAAAAAGCAAAGCTACACTAAATAAGAGAAAACTTTAGGGTAAATATCATCCATTAGGACAAATATCACCCATAAGCTATATGCTTTCTATTTTAAATTAGTAAAATTTCTATATAACCTAACACTCTATATGATCGCATAACCTTTAGAAAGGAAAGGGAACCAAAGTAACCACCACCAGAGCTCCAACTTCTAGAAAGGATAAAAGAGGAAAATGGGTTTGTATCTACTAGTTATCACATATTGTCAGCTTTAGCTTACTAATTGCTAAGTAGAAGCTGAGAAACTATAATACATAACCAAAGTCAACAGACTTAGTATATAACCAAGAGTTGTATTTAAATATACAGTACCAGTGAAACAGTAGATGTGACTCAAAACACATAGTGATAAATGAAGATGTTTTCAGTTGTGCACAAAAGCAAAACAGTTTTCACCTTTCTACCTAAGTTTCTTTGAAAACAAACAAAACTGCAAAAATGCTCATCAACACTTTTACAATAATAAACAGTATATGGCTGATCTTTCTGTTCATAACGGACCAAGGTCTTCAGGGAAATGTCTCCTTTCCTAGATTATAATTTAGATGCTCAAGATTCATCATCACCCAGCCCGGGCAATGTGGCAAAACTGTGTCTCTACAAAAAATACAAAACAATTAGCCAGGCGTGGTAGTGTGCGTCTGTCATCCCAGCTACTTGGGAGGCTGAGGAGGGAGGATCGCTTGACTCCAGTAGGTTGAGGCTGCAGTGAACCATGATTGTGCCACTGCACTCCAGCCTGGGGGACAGAGTGAGACCCTGTCTTTAAAAAAGAAAAAAAAAATCATTTTCTCCTAAATAAAAATTTTATGATGCTTTATCTGAAGATGCCATTTAATTCTACATTTCTTCCCAATTATACCTATGCTGTGTCTGATTTTTAAATGTTGGTGTATTTCTTCCCACCTCTCCAAAGAGGAACTATTTTTCCATCCCCAAGCATTATATAATTTGAACGGCAAGTATAAGCTATAAATATAAAAAACGAAAAGAAACTTTATATATTAAACTGATACTATTAAGAAATGAGATTAAACATAGAAAATGAGATTCCTTACCTTTAACTCGTTCTATTACTTTTGGTCTCTGTGGTTTGGACTTAGGAGATGGAGAATTAAATCTGAGATATGGTCCTTTTTTAAGAGTGCTTCGATGGCCCTGATAAACTGGCTTTCCATAGACTTGAAACATATAATCTTCATCTTGTATTACTGTGGTTGCTTTCAAAAGCCCCTATGTGTACAAAGTTATTCAACTCACCATGAAAATAGTCATCAAACACTTATCTCATTTTTCTAAAGCCTCCTTTTGCTAGCTTAAGTATTATAATAAGAATGATTAGGTCAAACATAACCTCTATTTTAAACAGCCCTTAAATTCTAGATACAGGTTTCAAGCATTAGTTTGAAAAGCTTTAAATACAAAAATCATCCACCTAAGAAACATGAAAATTTTTACATTACTAAGTATATTTTCAGCACCAACAAGAAACATTTAAACACATTTTACATATTTACTCCAGTACAATAAAAATACAGTAACCTTAACCTTTAAATAATTTTATATATTTCCGAATCCGCCTTCAACCATAATCTAAATGTCACAGAAAGGTAGCATTTACTGAGCATCTACTAAGTACCAAGTATTGAATTAGATGCTTTACTGATCTGCTCAACAATCCATGTTTGGCACTTAGAAACTTATAGCCTAGGGCAGTCAAAAAATTTCCTCCATACCATCTAGTACAATGCCTTGCATATACTAGGCACTAAACATGCATTTGTTAAACTGAAACAGAAACTATATATACACACACACACACACACACACACATGAAACACAATTTTGGGTACCATAAACTAGAGAATCTACTTTTTGGACTAGATGATCTCTAGATATACCTTTATACTTGCTATAACTACAAAATGATGATGTCAGGGTGTGAGATCTCAGAAGAAAGGAACTATCTATTTTGTTCAGTGCTTTTCACATTATAAATCCAAAACCCTAAATATCAATAGTGTAAAGATACTTACATTTGTATAGTTCTTCATGTTTTTAAAACACCTTTAACATTCGCTTCATTATTTCTCTCTTAAAGGAAATGATCGATTATAACACAATTATGTTAAAAGAATAGATTAGGATCTTACTTCCTTTCTCTCTTTCTGTAAACTTGAAGTAGGCATGCCCCTTGTAGGTAGATTTCTAAAATGCTCTTCTATTTGCTTTTGAGAATGTTTTCTTGGAATTACAGATTTGTTTACAGTTTTATCTTGTGTGTTGGTTCTAATATCTTTAGTCATATTCTGACCTTTCTTGGTTCTCTGATTCTTCTGATCAAATCTTTTTTGTTCATAATCTGTTCTTGACAGTTCATCCTTAACATAACCAAAGTTAAAATTACTTAAAATATATACAAATAGTAATGCTTTCACATCAGAAACTATTAGAATTTATTTTTTGCTATTATATAAATACAGTTTAGCAGTTTTAAATGTGTTAAAAATAAAGGATATTGGCTTTATTGGATACATAAAAATAAAAATTCTCTGGAAAAATAAACAAAACCCTAAAAATACTAGTATCTTTTGGAGCAGGGAATGGAAATAATAGAAGGGTTGCAGGGGTAGGAGGACAACTTTGCATGACAAACCTTTTTACACTTTTTGATGATTGAACCATATGAATTTTGCTAACAGTTTAAAAAATTAAAAATACGTTTCAAAAAAGGCAAACAATTTTGTAACAAAACTCTGAGATAAATATAAATTAAAATTATGTGAAAGTTTAAACAAATACATTTTACATGGGATTCGTGGCAAAAGAGTAAGATATATTGCCAGTTAGCTGTAGAGTGCAAACTAGACTCCAAATCTTCTGACTCTTAGTTCAACTTTTTTGTGTGTACCAAATAGTACCTAAAATAAATTTTTCATAAGTTCATTAGAAGTAGATATTTTTAAACAAAAAGTTTTAAAATATATTTCTGTGTTTATTGCTGTGGAAACAGTACTGATACTTCACCTTGCTACCTTTGTAAGTAGCACATAAGCTCATCTACAGTCAAAACAACACACCTTGCACCCCAGGACATAATAACAGCTTAGCCTGTCTAGTTCTGCGCACTCAAATATAAAAAAATTTTAAATTTCCTTTACATTATGGACCCTCTAAGAAAGATAACTCCCAGACTTTTTCAATGCGGATATTTGAAGACGTACCATGCCCATTGTGGATGTGAGAAAGAGGCTGTTTTTCCATCTGGTATTGACTTCTGTAAACTTAGTATATCTAGTTGTTTTTTTCCTCTTTGCATTACTCTGGTATTTTTACTTTGCCAGGCCAATGCTTCTAAATCTGTTGTTTTCAAATATCTTTGAAAGTATAATTCTTTTTCCAAACACTTTTGCTAAATTTTCTTTCAGATTATTCACGTTTTAGTTTTTGTCCAACAATTTGCCAAATAAGAGCCAGAATATAACTGGAGATAATGTACTTGTTAAACAAAGCTAAACTTATTACTAAGTAAATATAAAGAGTGACAGTGAAATTAAAAATAAGTAGATTTTTATATAAGAAATATTTTGAGAACAAATGTAATGCCTACAAATTGGAATCAATATTATCTTCTCAGAATTCACTTAATTTTCAGTTTTTTTCCAAGACATACCTGAATTTCCGCAGAAATAGTTTTAATCCATTCATCCACTGTCTTTCTGATCCTAATTTTCTCTGACATCTCTCTACGAAAGAGAAAAAGGAATTTTCTTAAATTAGCACTTACTGTCCTGAGCAGGACTTGGATCAGATCTAACTCTTATGTAGTTGTGAACCTGCTATCCTAATATCCTTCATCTGAAAAGGAAAGGATATTAGGATAGTAGGATGGGGGCCGAATATCCTTCATCTGAAAAGGAAAAACCAGTGGTATTAGTTTTCATCAAACATTTGAAGGATAAATATTTGAAAAGCACATGTGGACCCAAGAAGATATGTACCAAAGAAAGAAAAAATTAAAAGAAAAATTTCCACCAGAAAAAAGTAGTACCACCATATATATATTCAAATTCCAACTTTATAATAAGTTCCACATCTTCAAAGGCAATAAAGAACCTTTTAAAAATATTAAAACATATTAAGGAAAATAAAGTGCTTAGAAAAAAATTGTGAAGAAAGCAGAACTGGCAGACTCATAAACAGCCTTGGCTGCCAACATCCTCTTACCTGTTGGTAGATAAAGCATTGATAAGCGAATACATGGCAGCTCCATCTTTTGCACGAATAATAGCTTCCAGGTTTTCTTCAAGTACTTTTTTATTGTTTTGTACTCCTCTCAAAATCTTCTCAGCATCTTTCAGTATAGATCGTGTTGTATTGGTTGTGTGAAGCTTAACAGAATTCTGTGGAAGATCTGGAAGCTTCAACATACTCAGAGATTCTTTTGGCTTAAAAGAAAAAAAGACCAGAAAGTTACTAAACTCACATTGATTCCTTTAATCAAAACAACAGCTATCACTATTGTTGATGCCATACATTATACCAATATATACGAAGGACTCAATTTGTCAAACTGAAGACTTACAAAATACTTGGCAATCAAAGTGTTTTTCCTCCATTTAGAAATATTAATATGGGCCAGGCGTGGTGGCTCACGCCTGTAATCCCAACACTTTTGGGAGGCCAAGCCTCCTCAGGTGGATCACCTGAGGTCAGGAGTTTGAGACCAGCCTGGCCAACATGGTGAAACCCTGTCTCTACTAAAAATACAAAAATTAGCCGGGTGTGGTGGCACATGCTTGTAATCCCAGCTGCTCAGGAGGCTGAGGCAGAAGAAGTGCTTGAACCCGGGAGGTGGAGGTTGCAGTAAGCCGAGATTGCACCATTGCACCCCAGTCTGGGCAACAGAGTGAGACTCTGTCTCAACAACAACAACAAACTAATGTGAGTGTTAAGTAAAATAGAGGTGGGAAATCCATAGCAGTGCTAAGCAGTCCAGCGACCAATAATAATTTCTCTCTCTGCTGAAGAAAGTTAAAATAAAATAAAAGCAAGTTGGCTCTTTATGTATGGAAGGTAGGGCAGACACTGTGGATTGGATAAATGATGTCCATTCATTCACAGGTCTCTTTTCCCCTTCCTCCCTTTCCAACAGAAGCTGGGAAGCCAGAGGTGGCTATACGACTCAGTCCTGGTCAAGGAGCGATAAGCAGAAATCACTTGGTGAAGGCCTCTGGAAATACTTTATAAATGGAACAGACATGGCTGACATGTCTTTTTCAGTGCTTTTTCTTCATTCTTCCTCCTAATTTCTATCTTTATAACTTTTTTATTCCTTTATAATTTTTATCTGAACTAATCATCAATTTTAAGACCATTCCCATTTTACCTGGACCATGCTATTTGTTTCTTTCTCCTTTTGGCCAACGTCATGAAGAACATCATCAGACTTCTGCAGAGTCACTTTAGTTGTTCCTAGCTCTTCACAGGAAGGAAATCTTTGAGAAGGTAGAGTTTCAACGCTATAGAAGATTTTTTTAAAAAGTTTCCTAAATTGTTGTAAATTCAGTAAACATTTCATTAAACAAATCTTTGATACACTCTTAGCTATAGATTACTGGTATCCTATTAAAAAATTGAACCATGGAATTAATCAGTTACGTGATTAAACAAATGAAACAGAAAATCACAAGAGACAAAATGATCTAACCAGAAAAGTTTAGACATAGCAGAAAAGGAACAGGAAAAGGTTATGCTTTCAAGAAGCTAACATCCAGAAGCACTTCCAGATTGGTGAAGAACTTCTGAAAATCTGCTTCTCCATAAGCACAATGAGAACTCTAGCAAAAATCATCGAAATCAAGTTTTTCTAACCTCTGGAAATTAAACACTTGCAAGAACCTGAGGAGCATTTATTCAAGAAAAATGGCTGACTCTAGGCAAGAAGAGCAAGTTTTATGGAATTTATTTAACTTGCCTCATCTTCAGGACCCTATTCCCAACTCTGTGGTGGCCTTGAAAACCAACAGCCTCACAACCACTAAAGACAATAGAATGGTTTCAAGCTCTCCTAAAAGTCTCATTCATAGTATTTGTCTTTATTTGACCTGACTCAACTTTAGCGCAGTGAGAAACTATCCCCAAGGCATTTTTCCAAAACAGTGGCAACTGTTTAACATCTCAGCAGCCTGAGGTAGTGATACTGGTTGGGGCAAACAAGACTGTGGTCAACAGATGTTAAAAATCTAGGTAATAAGATGTCCATAGTGGAGTTTTGAAAAGCTCCAACATATTGCTAGGAATCTAGAAAGTCATGCCTTCTAGTCCACATACAGGGCTATGTACATGTCCAAGAGAGACCTGGGAAGTTCCTAATCACTCACTTCTGGCTGACCTTGAGTCTCTGTGCAAGTAGGAAGTGAAAGGCTAAAACAGACTCATAATCTGCCAGGCACTGGAGGCATGCTCTAGCACATGTGTGTGCGCACGCGTGCATGCATGCATACACACACACACACACACACACACTCCATGGCAAAGAGAGGGAGAGTTATCAGTTCAAGGCAGTTAAGGAAATCTCTTTCCAATCATTAGCAGACTAAGCTGACAAAACAGAGACTTCAGTGGGAGCACATGACAAAGAACACAGACTTCACAGAATTAGTCCAGGAAAGTCACTAAACAAACAGCAACAACAATAAACTCTGGGAGGTGAAAGAATCTAATTTCCAGAGCTGCCACACTGTATTATTTAAAATGCCCGGTTTTCAACAAAGATTTATGAGACATACAAAGAAACAGGAAAATAGAGCCCAAACACAGAAAAAAGCACAGTCAAAAGAAACCACTGTTGAGGAATCCCAGATATGAGACTTACTAGGCAAAGACTATAAATCAGCTATTACTAAAAGAAACCAGTTTTAAAATTAAAAGAAAGTATAAGAATGAAGTCTTGCCAAATATAGAATGATCAATAAAGACATAGAAAATATTTTTTAAAAGACAAACAGAAATTCTGCAGTTGAAAAATACAATAACCGAAATGTATAATTCACTAGAGGGGCTCAACACCATATATGAGTTGGCAGAAGAAAGAATCAACAAACTTTAAGACAGGCTAATTGAGATTATCCAGTCTGAGAAATGGAAAGAAAAATGGATGAAGAAAAATTAACAGTCTTAGAGACCTGTGGGACACCATCAAGCACACCAACATACAACTCCTCATCAGAAACCATAGAGTCCAGAAGGCAGTCAGGTGACATATTCAAAATGCTGAAAGAAAAAGAACATCTACCAAAAATTCTACATGTAGCAAAACTATCCTTCAAAAGTGAAGGAGGGGACACCAGGGTGTGTGTGCAGAGAGGGATGACCATGTGAAGAGACAGCAAGAGGGAGGTCACCTGTAAGTCAAGAAGAAAGGCCTCAAAAGAAACCAACCCAGCTAGCACCTTGATCTTGAACTTCTAGCTTCCACAACTATGAGAAACCAAATGTCTGTTTAAACAACAAAAACAAGTGAAAAAAAAATTAAGACAATACCAGATAAACAAAAACTGAGACAATTCACTGCTAACAGACCTACCATATAAGAAATACTATCAGGAATCCTTCAGGGTGGAATAAAAGGACACCAGGCTAACCTGAATCCATAGGAAGAAATAGAGTACTGGTAAAGATGAACTATATAGGTGAATATAAAAGCTAGTATACATATTTTTGTTGGTATCTCTTTTCTTTTCCTATCTGATTTAAAAGACAGCTGTATCAAATAATAATTATCAGACTACATAGATGAGCTTATAATGTATAAAGATGTAATTTGTATGATAATAATAGAAGAAAGAAAAGGAGAGGGAACGAGGCTTTACTGGAGCAAAGTTTCTGAATAATACTGAAATTAAATCACTATCAATCCAAATTAGATTGCTTTAAGTTAATATGTTAATTGTAATTCCTAGAGTGACCACTAAGAAAATAACTCAAAAAATAATAGTAAATGACAAAAGAATTAAAATGGTGCAACTAAAAAATGTCTAATACAAAAGAAGGCACTAAGGGAGGAACAGTGAACCTAAAAGACCTAAGGCATATAGAAAGCAACATGGTAGACATAAATCCTACCTTATCGGTGATTACATTAAATGTAAATAGACTGAAATTATACAATATCTCCATACAAAATCACTCAACATATGGCTCCTCTAGTTTTTATTACTGTAGTTTTCAAGATGTTGAAGATAAATATAATTATCATGGCCCAGATTTGATTTTTTAAAAACTTTTTATTCTGTAAAATTTCAAATACACACAAATATATAGAAAATACTAAAATGAACCTCATATACCCAATACTTAACTACAAAAATCATTAACTTTTGGTTGGCCTCATTTTATCTATACTCCCCAACCTACTTGCCCCTACCCTATATTGGATTATTTTTGAAACAAATCCTAGATATCGTTTAATCAGAAATGAATAATCTGCATACATTAGAAATTAATAATCTGTATTTTGAAAAAATGAGATATTCATTTCATAGCTATATTATAGAAAGGGGGAAGATATATTAGCATCAGAAAATAGTAATTAAATCTAAGTTAAATTTAAGAAGTAATGCTATAATTTATTAAAAGTCCCAAAGAAATGTAAAAAATCTGAACAAAGCTCTTTTCAATCTAGTTTTCATTCCAATCTCTTGTTTTCACCTGTTTGTCTTCTCAGGAGTCCATCCTATTTTTGACCTAGTTAGTGAGGTGGTATTTGATGATTCACTTTTTCTTGTCAAAGAATCATTATTATTCAAAATTTGTTCCAATAGTTTTACATTTCCTGAAATAGAAGAGATGTAGTATCATTTTCCAAATACTAATTCATTTATCTTGTATATAACATCTCATATATTCGTATTCTGGCCTAAGTTAGCTTCCTATGATGATTATCTACTCAATTTATAGCCTACAAGCCGGGCGTGGTGGCTCACGCCTGTAATCACAGCACTTTGGGAGGCTGAGGCGGGTGGGTCACCTGAGGTCAGGAGTTTGAGACCAGCCTGACTAACATGGAGAAACCCATCTCTACTAAAAATAGAAAAAATTAGCTGGGCGTGGTGGTGCGTGCCTGTAATCCCAGCTACTTGGGAGGCTGAGGCAGGAGAATTGCTTGAACCTGGGATGCGGAGGTTGCAGTGAGCCAAGATCGCGCCATCACACTCCAGCCTGGGCAACAGGGGGACACTCCATCCAAAAAAAAAAAAAAAAAATTTATAGCCTACAATGTAGCCTACAATTTAGGCTATAAATACACTCATCAAATAAAACTAAATATTTATACCTCATAAAAACTATACCGCAACTAGGCGCAATGGCTCATGCCTGTAATCCCAGCATTCTGGGAGGCCGAGGCAGGAGGATTGCTTGAGGCCAGGAGTTTGAGACCAGCCTGGGCAACAAAGCAAGACCCTGTCTCTATAAAGAAAAATATATAAACAAGTAAGTAAAAGTTTGAATTAATAGAAAAACCCCTAAATTTATTTCCATCACAGAAAAAAGGAATTTGAGAAGTGTCATCATCACAAAGTCCAGCAAAATAGATGATTTTTATAAATTAGTAAAGAAGAGATTTATCTATTTCTTCAAAGTACCAATTAAGTGGATCTATCCTTTAGCCTTGTTTGTATGTAGTAAGACTACATAGTAATTTTTGGTGTGAGGTTGCCTTCTTTATTAAAGATTTTATTATTTTGTGACTTTCTTAAAACTCTTTAAATGTGCCTAAGACTTGCATGCATTTAAATGATTCCAAGAATAAAAGTGTTTAGTTTAATATTTCACTTACTTTTGTTAGAAGGGGTACATTTTAAGACTGTAATATACTATTTTCTTTTAATTTATTTCCATAGATTTTTGGGGAACAGGTGGTATTTGGTTACATAAGTAAGTTCTTTATTGGTGATGTGTGAGATTTTGGTGCACCCATATCTGAGCAGTATACACTGAACCCAATTTGTAGTCTTTTATCCCTCACCCCCTTCCCACCCTTTCCCCACAAGTCCCCAAAGTCCACTGTATCATTCCTATGGCTCTGCATTCTCATAGCTTAGCTCCCATTTATGAGTGAGAATATATGATGTTTGGTTAATACACGTCCCTTATAAAAGTTCCTGTTCTGTGTTAAAAAGTTCATATATGGCTGGGCACAGTGGCTCACACCTATAATCCCAGCACTTTGGGAGGCCAAGGCGGGCGGATCACAAGGTCAGGAGATCGAGGCCATGCTGGCTAACACGGTGAAACCCTGTCTCTACTAAAAATACAAAAAATTAGCCTGGTATGGTGACATGCGCCTGTAGTCCCAGCTACTCAGGAGGCTGAGGCAGGAGAACCGCTTGACCCTAGGAGGCGGAGGTTGCAGTAAGCCGAGATCGTGCCACTGCACACCAGGCTGGGTGACAGAGAGAGACTTCATCTCAAAAAAAGTTCATATATTAGCACTTTTTCCAAGTGAACATGGTAATAAATGTTGTTTCTCTATGTTTTATTATTGAAATTCACACCTAAAAACAGTATGAGGAAGCACACTCTAAAAATGATCAGCCTTACCTTCAGCAAAGCATTGTTTTTTGTTTATTAATAACAAAACTTGGCCAAGCGCAATGGCTTACGTCTGTAATCCCAGCACTTTGGGAGGCTGAGGTGGGCAGATGGCTTGAGCCCAGGAGTTTGTGACCAGTGTGGGAAACATAGTGAAACCCCATCTCTAAGAAAAATACAAAAATTAGCCTGGTGTGGTGGCGTGCACCTGTAGTCCCAGCTACTCAGGAGGCTGAAGTGGGAAGATCAATTGAGCCTGGGGAGGTAGAGGCTGCAGTGAGCCATGATCACACCATTGTACTCCAGTCTGGGTGACAGAGTGAGACCCTGTCTCACAAAAAATAAATAAAAATTAACAAAACTTGTTCATTAAAAGTTTAAGTAATAACCTGTAAGAGATAGAATAATTAATTATAAATGTATACCTCCAACTCCTTTCACGAGGAATCTAAAGAAGCTTGATTTTCCCAGCAAGTATCATTTAAAGTAAAATATTACAAATACAGATCCCACTTCAGTTTCTACTAGGCACAGAAAATCTCATGACAATTTCCTAATTTGGGATAGGTCTAGTAAAAGTCTGTATTACCTCTGTGACAGGACACTTCCATATTTTCTTTTTCTTCCAAAAGATTTTCCCTCTTTGATAGCTCATCATCCCTTGAAACAGGTACAGGAGCAAATCTGCGAGGTGCTGGTGTCTCCAAAGGAGATTTCTGTTTATCAAAACTCATATCTTCAACTTCTTTTAAAGATGCTTTAACAGAAAAATTTTTTAAAAATTAACTTGCTTTTAAAAAGCTCTAAAAATTATAGCATATTACTCTTCCCTATACTTTAAAAATAAAGCCAAAATTATAAATTATAAATTATTAACAAGTGTAGAAAAATAACTTCACCCCCATTAAAAATCAAAAGAAATGAAGACTACAAACATTTTACACTTACATCTAGTAAATATGAATCTATATGATAATATTCAGAACTATTGAAGCAGTGATGAAACAGGAAGAGCCAGATACTTTTCATGGCAGTGAAAACTGATAAAGCATCTGGCAAAAAGTATAGGAAGAATTAAAATTTTATATAATTTAACTTAGTAATCTTAATCTTGTGAAATTATTATAAGGAAATAACATAAAAGAAAATGTGCTTAAAATATGATGATGTTTTTTACAGTATTATTTATGAAGATGCAAACCTAAAAACCGTCTGAGTATCTGAAACAGGATAACGGTCAAGTAGACTGTGAAATAGTTATTCAATAGGCTACCCTTTAGTCATTAAAAGTTAAAATTATGAAGACAACTATATAAAATATGGCAGATGTTTTTATGTACTAGTAAAAAAGCTGTATAAAATGCTACAGTTACAATTACGTAAACATGATATATGCCCAAGAAAAAGCATAGAAAAATTAAGCTTAATTTACTGAATTTTTAATTTACTCATTTCTTTTATTTGTTATTGTAACATATATACAAAGAAACAAATTCAATTTACAATCAATAAAATAGACACCTTTTTCATGAAAACTCGAGTTTAAAAAAAACAAAATTATAAGCAAGAAATTCTCTGGAATTGAGTTATGAAAAAAGTGTCCACTGCTATTGAAGGCACTCAGCTGGGTCATACTGAAACATGAGTTCTGGCCCTAGCTCTGACATCCTCCCTCTCAAGTCAGGTAACCTTGAGCAGGCAAGTCATACTATTCTATGCTTCATTGTCCTCTCTTCATAACTTAAAAAAGGACTCATATTACTTCACAACAGTTCTTTGTTGTTGTTGTTAACAATGAAGCACAGAATGGTATGACTTACCTTGAGCAGGCAAGTCATACCATTCTGTGCTTCATTGTCCTCTCTTCATAACTTAAAAATGGACTCATATTACTTCACAACAGTTCTTTGTCGTTGTTGTTTGCTTTTTTGTTTTTGAAACAGCGTCTTGCTCTGTCACCCAGGCTGGAGTGTAGTTGCATGACCACAGCTCACTGAAGCCTCAACCTCCTGGGCTCAGGCAATCCTCTGACCTCAGCCTCCGAAGTAACTAGGACTAAAAGCATGTGCTACCACACCTGGCTAATTTTTTTATTTCTACTTTTAGAGACAGGATCTCACTATATTTCCCAGGTTGGTCTCGAACTCCTGGGCTCAAGTGATCCTCTCATCTTGGCCTCTCAATGTGCTGGGCACAACAGTTTTGTAAGGACCACTCATTTACTGCAAAATGTAAAGCACCTTATAAGCATGAGCAATCTTTAATGACTGTAATACAACAACGTTCTAACAAATCAAGTGTTGAAAATATTGTACTATATAGAGTTGTATATCATTAAAGGGATAGTCCCTCGATTTTCTTTAGTTCATTATTCAAATATCAATAACTTAGAAACACATTTATTCATTTACTTTAAATACTAAAGTTTTAACAAATAAGCTATGTATTCCTTTGTTAGGTAGTCGCTCTGACAGAATCAAGAAAGAGCAAATATGCAGTTTGTCAGAGAACAGGGGAACTGATTTATTTACAAGCATTTTTGTAGTAAACAAGTACATTTTTCCTAAATTTATAAGTGCTTCTGATAATTTATGAAGGTTATTAATTAAAACCACAGATAAGAACATAATCCATAATTTTAAAAAAATTCAAAATAACCTAAAAATTACTTGACGTAAAAAAAAGAACTCGTTTTATCTAAGACAAGGTAGCCTGAGAAAGAAAATTAAAAAAAAAAGAACATTAAAAAAAAACACCAAATAGTTTTATAAAACAAAAACTCCTATAAATAAATTTTATAAAACAAAAACTCCTACTGCTCAGGAAATATGTTTTCAGTTTATGCAGCACAAAGAAAATTCATAGCTGACATTTTTTATTCAGAGAACTACATATTTTTACCTTGTTTGGAAGCAAATGTGTTATATAAAGATGCATTACAGCTACCAAGATTAGGGTGTTCTGGTTTTACAGAATACTTTTCCACTGCTCTGGAGGAGGGCATACTAACAGGCTGAAAACTACTAGTCTTGAGTGCAGCACTAATAAAATGCGTCTAAAAGAAATAAGATTATTTCATTATTTTCAGATATCATTTGAAAGAGTTAGATGATAAAATACATTGAAATATTAGAGTTAAACATAATTTACTACATGTAATAAACAATGAAAAAATATATATTACATTGCAACTATCCACTATAGTAGCAGCAGCGATGCCATTGGCAAGATGTAGAATCACAAAGATGTGACTAAGCCTGACTCTGCTGTGTGACCTTAATCATTTTCCCTAACCATTCTAAACCTCAGTGTTGTTCTTTCTACCTTAGACATGGCTAAGGGGCCACTACAGCTGGCTAAGAGAAGACCAGGAAGGAGAGGCCCTTGCCCTAAACCTCTACTTGAATCAGAGAATTTTAAACCAAAACATCCTATCTTCTATATCCTAAATGGTAGGATTTTGTTCGAGGTCAAGGTTTGAAAATCATTGATAGTGAGTACTCAAATAAATATCCATGCTTAGCAGCAGCAATAAAATATGTGTTTGTATATTAATGGAAACTACACTGACAACACAGTTTTCAGCACTATTTATTAAAATACCTGAAATGGGGCCAGGCACAGTGGCTCACGCCTGTAATCTCAGCACTTTGGGAGGCCAAGGCAAGTGGATCACCTGAGGTCAGGAGTTCCACCCGTCTCTCCTAAAAATACAAAAATTAGCTGAGCTGGTGGTGGGAGCCTGTAATCCCAGCTACCCAGGAGGCTGAGGCATGAGAATCACTTGAACCCGGGACACAGAGGTGACAGTGAGCCGAGATGGTGCCACTACACTCCAGCTTGGGTGACAGAGCGGGACTCTATCTCAAAAATAAAATAAAATATCTAAAATAAGCAAGTATCTTAACTAATAAAACTGGTTTCAAAAGAGAGGGTTTTATTGTTTTGTTTTAATTTTTGTGGGTACATAGTAGGTGTATATATTTATGGAGGACATGAAATATTTTGATACAGGCATGCAATGAGTAATAATCAAAACAGAATTTTATGCCAGGCCAAGAAAAACTTAAAAAGATTCATAGTTCTACAGAATTTCTAAAAGTGTGTTGAGATCCCTCTACATAAAACAGATGAAACAGACTCAACTAATTTCATTTCATTAAGCATTTACTGAACAACTAATATATCTAGTATGTAACCAAAACTTCAACTCTCTCTGTAATTATAAGCTTTATAAGTAAGACATCTAAATTAGCAAAGATTCCATTCTTCTAAAATTAGAAAGTCATTAAGTTATAGATTTAGTTATGGAAGGACGGATGATGGCAGATAAGTACTTAGGACCAGCAGGAGTCTCTCCTTAAGGAATAAATGTGCTTTTCAAATGTGTCATCTCGTTTTATCCTGAACAACAGAAAACATTTTCTAGGTAAAGAAATTGAGGCTTAAAATAGTAAAGTTATCTATAAACCAACAGATTTATAGACTCATTCCTGGTCTCTCACTAGATAATTTGCTGCATACTCAATTTTAGTCATGCAGGGAGTACTTACTAAACTTTACTTGGTATGCATATAATCATTCCAATAAAATATTATCTTTGACCACATGAAAAGCTCAAGATAAACCGTGTTAAGTCTTGAAAATTATAGCAAATTAATGTCTACTTTATGATGATATATTAAGTATAATAAACTTATTTTAGTACATTCTTCTGAATTTTTGTCTTAACAAAAAATATGTAATTTAGAAAATCATTAACAGACATATACACATATGTATAGATATACATGTATATAGATATACAATATATATATATTCGTCGCTGTTGTTGTTAAGACAGAGTCTCGCTCTGTCACCCAGGCTGGAGTACAGTGGCACAATCTCAACTCACTGCAACCTCCGCCTTCTGGGTTCAAGTGATTCTCCTGCCTCAGCCTCCTGAGTAGCTGGGACTACAGGCATGTGCCACCACGCCCAGCTAATTTTTTGTATCTTTGGTAGAGAAGAGGTTTCACCATGTTGGCCACGCTGGTCTTGAACTCCTGACCTCAAGTGATCCACCCACCTCAGCCGCCCAAAGTGCTGGGATTACAGGGATGAGCCACCGTGCCCGGCCTGAATGTTATATTTTAATTTTTTAAAGTTTTTAAATTGCACAGTAGGCCAGGCGCGGTGACCCACGCCTGTAATCCCAGCACTTTGGGAGGCCAAGGCAGGCAGATCGCCTGAGGTCAGGAGTTTGAGACCAACCTGGCCAATATGGTGAAACCCCATCTCTACTACAAATATAGAAAGTTAGCTGGGCATGGTGGTGGGCATCTGTAATCTCAGCTATTCAGGAGGCTGAGGCAAGAGAATCGCTTGAATCTGGGAGGTGGAGGTTGCAATGAACTGAGATCTCACCATTGTACTCCAGCTTGGGCGACAAGAGCGAAACTCCATCTCAAAAAAAAAAAAGAAATTTCATATTAATTAGAAAAAAAAGTAAATTAAAACCAACGCATTTACAATGCTGATCATTCCCTCACTCACTCAAAAAAAAAAAAAAAAAAGTTTACTGAGTGCTAAGTAGTGTTCTAGGAATTAGAAATTCCAAAATAGGCTGAGCATGGTGGCTCACGTCCATAATTCCAGCACTATGGGAGGCCAAGATGGGTCGATCACTTGAGGCCAGTGGTCTGGCCAACACAGTAAAAACCTGTTTCTACTGAAAATACAAAAATTAGCTGGGTGTGGTGGCGCAGGCCGGCAATCCCAGCTACTTGGGAAGCTGAAACATGAATATCACTGAACCTGGGAGGTGGAGGTTGCAGTGAGCCGAAATCACACCACTGCACTCCAGCCTGGGCGACAGAGTTAGACTCCGTCTCAAAAAAAAGAAAAAGAAAAAAAAAGAAATTCCAAAATAAATACGAAAGATGCTATCAGCTCCTTGTGAGGATAATGCTTTTTATAATAGCCCAGTGCCTTATTCTCAAAAGGCATTAAAAAATGTTCATTATTTTAATTAATTAAATGCAAAAGCAAATATGTACACCAGGTAGTTCTTATCCAAGGGTGTGCATCAGAATCATTATGAAGCTTTCAATGATTGCCAGGCACTACCTCAGAATCACTGGCTCAAAATCTCTGAAAGGCCTAAGTGTGTGTGCTTGTGAATGTGTATATGTGTGTGTGCGCGCGTGTGTGTGTCTATGTATGTGTGTATATACACAATCTTTTTTTTTGAAATAGGGTCTCACTCTGTCACCTGGGATGAAGTGCAGGTATATTATCATAGTTCACTGTAACCGCAAACTCCTGGACTCACGGTCTCCTGCAGTCTCAGCCTCTCAAGTATCTGGGACTACAGGCACATGCCACCATGCCAAGCTAAATTTTTTTTTTTTTTTTAAGAGATGAGGTTTTGCTACATTAACCAGGCTGATCTTGGAGTCTTGGCCTCAAGCTATCCTCTCAGCTTGGCCTGCCAAGATCCCAAGCACAAATATTTTTATAAAGCTATTCAAGTAATTCTAGTGCACATTTCCAGACTAAAAACTGCTGATGTAAACCAATAGTTGCAATGTGATATAAGCACTTAAAAATGTGGCTGTGCATGGCAGCTCATGCATGTAACACTAGCACTTTGGGAGGCCGAGGAAGGCAGATCACTTGAGGTCAGAAGTTCGAGACCAGCCTGAACTACATGGTTAAACCCCACCTTTACTAAAAATACAAAAATTAGCTGGGCGTGGTGGTGTGCGCCTGTAATCCCAGCTACATGGGAGGCTGAGGCAGGAGAATCTCTTGAAACCAGTTGAGTGGAGACTGTACCACTGTACTTCAGCCTGGGCAACCATAGCAAGATTCTCTCTCAAAAAATAAATAAAAATAAAAAATAAAAATGATATGAACAAAAATAGTGTAAAAGGAGGAAAAGCCAACTAGAGGGAGAGGTCTCACACAACTAGTAACATTTGAGATATAAAATGCAGAGTTACCCACATTACAGGAGAAGAAAGATAAGCAAATCATGATTTCATAACTAAAACTGTTACAATCTAATGAGCTACTGCAATTATCAATGAATATTAGCTGAGAGAGCCAAATGATAAAAGATTATGGAATCTGTACTGGCTTTATTACAGATACCTGAATATCTATTTGTTGTTGTTGTAATTTTTCAAGATGCCTTATGTGCTGCTCCATAAACACATTCATTTGCTTTTCATGATCATGACAATGTAGTTTCTCTTGTTTACTCTGAATGCTTGTTTGCTGCTCTGTAACACGTTGCAGGTGTTTATCAGTCTCCTGTAATTTACTAAGTAATTCTGTAACAGAATTGACTTTTGCTTCCAAATCACTCTGCACCTAAAACAATAAAAGTATTTTCAAAAATTCACATTATAGGATACCAAAAATATGTCTAATTACTAGAAATGTTATTTAAATCAATTGGCATTGAGAAGTGATCAAATTTGAGCTTATACTCACTAAATGTCTAATGATTTAATGCCTTTATTTTTAGAGTCACAGAAATGAAAGGCAGATGATAGCTATCCTTAGGTAAATGTTCCCTCTCAAAAAATAAATAAATAAATAAATAAATAAATAAATAAATAAATAGGCCAGGAGCGGTGGCTCACGCCTGTAATCCCAGCACTTTGGGAGGCTGAGGCGGGTGGATCATGAGGTCAGGAGATCTAGATGATCCTGACCAACACGGTGAAACCCCGTCGCCACTTAAATACAAAATTAGCCAGGCATGGTGGCGCATGCCCTGTAGTCCCAGCTACTCAGGAGGCTGAGGCAGAGGAATCACTTGAACCTGGGAGGCGGAGGTTGCAGTGAGCCGAGATCGCACCACTGCACTTCAGCTTGGGCAACAGAGCGAGACTCTGTCTCAAACAAATCTGCCACAAAGAATTTTATGATGCCTAAAACAAGATACTTAAATGGAAATTAAAAAGAAGAAAACAGAAAAGCAAAGTAGCTTTTGATACTTTACTAACTTAAGGCTGAGTTAGGTCAGCAGCCTTGAGTTCTAGTTTTGGCTCTGTCAGTTACTCGTTCCAGACTTACCTGCCTACTCTGACCTGTTTCTCTGCTTCCCCATTTACAAAGTGACAGCTAAGGCATAGATTATCTCTAAGGTTCCTAAGGTTCCTCTAGCTCTCAAATAAGAATAACCGATTATCCAGGTTGCCAGGACCAAGGTGTTTCCCAGGATGTAGGACTCTCAGTGCTAAAACTGGGGAAGTTCTGAATTCGCTAGTGCCATCACAGTATTAGAGGGTAACTTTCACAATTCCTGAGAAGTAACACACAACCACAAATGGGAAAATGTTTTCAAATTGAGAGCAACAATGTTGCTAGTCTATAATTATATACAACCATTTATATAATCAGTTCTTAATAAGTACTTCTATATTTCACAAAGTAGTTATGAATATCTGGGAAGAAAAATATACCTTTATCAATGGAGCTGCGGTTGCAATGGCAGCAGCAGTTGCTGCAGCCACAGTTGTAGCTGAATCAATTCCACTGGGTGAAATTCTGGTCTCCTGAGTAACAGCATCCTTCTCTATGCCTGCATCTTCTAACAGATGTACCTTTACTTCCTTAACAACAGGCATGCTTTGAGCTCTATAAACAAAAAAGCAATAAAAATGTATTCAGTAAACTACATTGAACCATTTCAAGAAATACTTAACAAATGGTAATCTGCTAAAGGTGGTTTTGATTTTTTTTAAATTAAATCACCTATCAAACAAGGTCATTTGGTTAACAAAATTTATCAAGGTCCAGGTCACTAAGGGCTAAAGAAATAAGAAGATAATTCCTTGAAGGTAGCAATATTATTTTGGAAAATAAGAATTAAACATATGAAAAAGGTATAGCACAATTATAAAGATATATTATCAAGAAGTACAAGTTTAAAACACTCAGAAGGCTGGGCACGGTGGCTCATGCCTGTAATCCCAGGACTTTGGGAGGCCAAGGCGGGAGGATCACCAGGTCAGAAGTTAGAGACCAGCCTGGTTAACATGGTGAAACCCTGTCTTTATTAAAAATACAAAAATTAGCCGAGCGAGGTGGCATGTGCCTGAGTCCCAGCCACTCAGGAGGCAGGAGGCGAAGGTTGCAGTGAGCCGGGATCGCACCACTGCACTCCAGCCTGGGTGACAGAGCGAGACTCCGTCTCAAAAAAAAAAAAAAAAACAACTCAGAAAAAGCTCCAAGAATTAAAGTACCAAGCTTTACTCCCAAAGGCAGACAACCCAAGAAACACTATGGTTTTCTTTTTTCTTTTATTATTTTTTTAAAGACGAGTCAAGTACAGTAGTGAGAAGGGGAGAAAAAGTGGAATAAGTTTGGTCTGGGCCGGGTGTGGTGGCTCAGGCCTATAATGCTAGCACTTTGGGAGGCCAAGGCAGGTGTATTGCTAGAGCTCAGGAGTTTGAGACTAGCCTAGGCAACATGGTGAAACCCCATCTCTACTAAAATACAAAAAATTGGCTGGGCATGGTAGTACATGCCTGTAATTCCAGCAACTCGGGAGGCTGAGGCAGAAGAATCGCTTGAACCCGGGCAGCGGAGGTTGCAGTGAGCCTAGATGGCACCACTGCACTCTAGCCTGGGTGACACAGCAAGACTCTGTCTCCAGAAAAATAAAATAAAAAGAAAAGTTTGGTCTATAACTTATTGTGAACAATCCATTAAGATAACGTATTACTTCCAGACAAGCTGCTGTGGTTTTTAAATTATTGATAATTTTATCCTCCAAATATTTATATAAGAATTACAAAATTATTGGCCAGGTGCAGTGATTGGCACCTGTTATCCCAGCACTTTGGGAGGCTGAGATGGGCAGATAGCTTAAGGCCAGGAGTTCAAGACCAGCCTGGGCAACATGGCAAAATCCTGTCCCTACAAAAAATACAAAAATTAGCCAGGCGTGGTGGCACACACCTGTAGTCCCAGTTACTCAGGAGGCTGAGGTGGGAGGATCTCATGAGCCTGAGGAGGTAGAGTGTGCAGTGAGTCGTGATCACTCCACTCCACTCCAGCATGTGAGACAAAGTGAGACACTGTCTCAGAAGAAAAAAAAAAAAAGAATTATAAGAATTATAGCACTATTGATGTACACTTTGTGACTATTTTTTCTCCTAATTTATTGAGGTATAATTGAAAAAAATGTATATATTTACAATGTGATATTTTGATATACGTATACATTGTAAAATGATTACAGTCAAGATACTAGCATATCCATCACCTCATATAATTATCTTTTTATGTGATAAGAACATTTAAGATTTACTGTCTTAGCAATTTTCAAGCATACAATTCATTATTATTAACCATAGTTACATGCTGTACAGTAGATCTCTAGAATGTATTAATCCTGTTTAAGAGAAATTGCACCTTTTGACCTCTATCTCCCACTTCCTCCCCACCCCCAGCCCCTGGCAACTACCATTCTACCTTCTGCTTCCATAAATCTGACTTTTTCAGATTCCACACGTAAATGAGAATACATGATATTCATCTTTCTGTGCCTGGCTTATTTCACTTAGCATAGTGTCTCCAAAAGGGATTGTTAACAATGCTGAAGAGAATTTTCTGAATTCTAGCTCATTTAGATTTACTTAATAAATGTCACTCAGGCAGGCCGGGCACTCCCAGCACTTTGGGAGGCCAAGGCGGGTGGATCACCTGAGGTCAGGAGTTTGAGACCAGCCTGACCAACATGGTGAAACACTGTCTCTACTAAAAATACAAAAAATTAGCCAGGCATGATGGCGGGTGCCTGTAATACCAGCTACTCGGGAGGCTGAGGCAGGAGAATCGCTTGAACCCAGAAGACAGAGGTTGCAGTGAGCAGAGATCGCACCATTGCATTCCAGCCTGGACAATAAGAAGCTCAGTCTAAGGAAAGGACAAGACAGGACAGAAAAGAGGGAGGGAGGGAAAGAGGAAGAGAGAGAGAGGGAGACAGAGAGAGAGAGAAAGAAGAGCAGAGCAGAGCAAAGCAAGACAGAAAGAAAGGAAGGTCACTCCATTTATTAAAATGTTCACAAAATACACTATTAAGAAGCCTGAATTAGCTGGGTGTAGTGCTACATGCCTGTAATCCTAGCACTGTGGGAGGCCAAGGCGGGAGGATTGCTTGAGCCCAGGAGTTCAAGACCAGCCTGGGCAATATGGCAAACCCCGTCTCTAAAAAAAAAAAAAAAAAATCAAAAATTAAAAATAAAAAAAGACCCTGAAACAAAAACAAGTCCAGTAAATAGATACATATTTGCAATAAGGCATTTAATTAAATACTAAAAGAAAAAAGAAGGCTACTCAATTTGCTTGATATGTGGTCTCAAAGACAACAATGAAAGGAACCACTGACAAAACTGAAGAGTCCCTAAGAAAGCCTAAGCAAAATCGTTAGCAATATGTTCCATCTCCAGCTGCTGGACTTCCCCCTTGACTTTTAAAAGCATTACAGAACTATTAAACTTACTCCTCTTTGATATTTCCCCATTTCTACTAAGAATAACATTTTTCTCTCAGTCTCAAAATGTTGAAGTCACCTTGACTTCTCTACTTGCTTACCTTCTCATATCCAATTGAGTCATAAAGTGTTGTCAATTATTTCATCACAATTGCATGAAGAGTGTCACAGAATTATAGAGCTGGGAGAAACTTATAGGTCAACCATTCTAATTTCCTAATTTTATAGATGAAAAAATTGCAGTCCACAGAGGTCACAGGATATCCTAATTTCCTAATTTTACAGATGAAGAAATGGCAGTCCACAGAGGTAACAGGATTTACTTGATCATTGTCATAGAACTATTTATTAAGTGGTAGAGTTAGGGCCCAATTCCCAGAGGTCTTACCATGACACCAGAGCTTTTACTCTCAGTTTGGCACTTTTCTCTTCTCACTTTTCTCTCTCAACTGTAAAGTTTCATCATCCATTACTAACTATTCCATTCTTCCAGTTTCTACTTGCTTAGAAGCTTCCTACACATATGTCACCATTCAAAAATCTAAAATTATTCCTTAAAAACAACTGAATTGGCTAATTTCCTCTGTTTAGCTTTCCATACACAAGGCTGTCCTCACTAACTACACATACCATGTCACGCCCACAAGTGACTCCACACTTGTCCTCACTCTGCTCTCTCACCCTATTACATCCTTCTCCTCCTTTAAGGTGCAATGCAAGTATTACCTTCTTCAAGAAGTCTGTTCTTCTAACACTTCCTCTTGATCCCTCCCTTCATTAACTCCTTTTGCATTTACTACCTATCAATGGAGGCTTGCTACTCAGCCACCCCAGGGTTTACATATCTGTACGGGACAATTTAATAATATATTGAATGTAATTAATCACTAATTCCTCCGGGTTGGGAATGGTAGCGGGACTTCTTTCATAGCAAACAGCAACTAACAAAGGATTAGATGTGTAGTAACTGCTCAATATATATATTTAACTGATTGAGGGGTAGAGTATGAAAATATAATTCAGGAATTCCTTATCTTTAAGGTTTCTGCCTGAAGTCTGAAAGTGACTTACCTTTGCCCAACAAGAGAAACAACATTATAAGGCTAGACATAAATTTCTTTATAGGCTTTTAAATTTTATTTTTTCAATTATTAAATTAATAAATATAATTCAGGAATTCCTTATCTTTAAGGTTTCTGCCTGAAGTCTGAAAGTGACTTACCTTTGCCCAACAAGAGAAACAACATTATAAGGCTAGACATAAATTTCTTTATAGGCTTTTAAATTTTATTTTTTCAATTATTAAATTAATAAATGCTCAATGTGGCAAATATAAAGAGCTATGAAATATAAATGTCAAAAAAAATGCACATAACCCTACCATTAAGAAGCAATTATTTCATTATAGTCTTCTTTTTTAGCCAGTTTTTCTTTATTCTTAAATCCACTGAATATCCCAGTGCTGTGCTGCAACTATTCTCACCAAGGCCACTAAGAACCCTGCTTGCTCAATTCAGTGTACATTTTTCAGTCCTTACCTTTCATTACCTCGGAGCAGCACATCACACTTGGAACCTAATTCCCCTTGGCTTTGTTAACACCATACCCTTACATCTCTGGCCAAACTTTCTGAGCAGCATTTAGAAGCTAGCTTGCTTTCTCCACATACTCCTTCAATGTTTGGTATTCTCAGAGTCCATCCAGCCCTAGCCATCTTTCTTTTCACTATCTAACCTCATTGAATCACTTCAACTATTCCCAGAGCTTAGACTTAGACTGCCACTTACATAATGATGACTTCTGCATCCTAATTTCTAGCTTAGATCCCTTTTGTGAACTTGGCCTTTTTAATTTTTTCGAGACAGGATCTCACTGTCACCCACGATGTAGTATAGTAGCACAACCACAGCTCACTGCAGCCTCGACCTCCTAGGCTCAACTGATCCTCCTGCCTCAGCCTCCCAAGTAGTGAGGTGTACAAGCACATGCCACCCTGTGTGGCTAATTTATTGTTTTTAGAGATGGGGTCTTGCTATGTTGCCCAGGGTGATCTCAAACTCCTAGGCTCAAGCCATTCTCCCACCTTGACCTCCCAAAGTGCTGGAATTATAGGCATGAGCCACCGCTTGGCAACTTG